AACAAATGCATACAGTACACGTGTGTTCGTGCACTGGACAAGAGTTAATGAGTTTGATGACCGAGTGAGGAGGAGGAAGACATTGGAGGCAGGGGAAGATGCAGAGGCTAGCTCTCAGTCTAAATATCTCTGCTGAAATGCCAATCATTCATTTGTTTCTCTTTCTGGGGAGAGATGGAGGGGCTCAGAAGAGAGAGAGAGATAAGTGAAGGCACTCTGTCACCGCCACTTGTTTCAGCAGCTTTACGAAATTCTGCATCCATGTAAACCAGTGAGAGAGGTCACCACTCTACTTGTGCCATGCTGCCAACCATGTTCAACAATCACATAAAGTACGGCGACATCAAAACAGTGAAGGAATATTATTAACCTCGCAATTACAGCGCATCAATTTGTTTGAAGAAAGTGGATAATACAGCCTCAGCAGTATCTCTCCTTTTATGATAATCTCTAGTAATGAGTGTAAGTGTTAGATTATGAAGTAATTATTTTTCCTTTCCTACAAGCACGTTAATAATATCAAGTTCTCAACTTGCAAAGATATGCAAACTCTCATGGTTACCGAAAACAAGATATGTTTTAAAAAAAATAAAAATTATTTGGTTAAGGAAAACCTTGACCGAAACTGGAAGATTCATTACATAAATAATTTATCTTTATACAGAAAGAAGGAAAGAACAGAGCTATTTCTGTATCAGCCATGCTTGCCTTGCCTCAATAACATCTGATAATGAACAGAGACACAGGAACACACAAGAAAAAAACAAGCACTGTTACTAATGCAATTCCATTCCAAATTCCAAGACATGCAAAAATGATCTCAGCTCAAACAGCAAAAAATATCCACTAAAGCTAAAGCAAATTAAAAAAAAAAAAATCCTTGTCAAACATCATCTTCTTCACTAAAAGCGAAAAGAGCCAGACCTAAACTAAACTGAAATACCCATTACATAAAAATATTATATCTTTGTACAACATCAGCTACCCATTACAGGGAAGACAGAGAGTTACACTAAAAGGGTAAAATTAATAGATAAAAACACAACAAAAACTCCTAATCTCTGCTCTAATTCTTTGGTCTTGGTAGCCTACTGTCAACTCAATTTGCCTTCTCAACATGGAGTTTGAACACTGAGTCCAAATCAGGTGGGGTAAAGAACTCCCTCACACCATTGAAGTTACATCTTGAAGGAGGCCGGCTTTTTCTTGGGGCTGGCGGGCATGAAAAAATCTCAGGTATTCTGGCTTCTTTGGCTGTTGGGGTTGTTGAAGATGCCTCTTCTTCTTCTCCAGCTTCGCTTTCTTTAGCTCTCAGTTTCGTGTTTATCGGCTTTAACGAGGTTCGTACTGAGATTCCGGCGATTACCCACTTCTTGCCTTCGGATTCTAGGCCTCCATCCACTTGGGACTTCTTTGAAAAACCCATCTTTTAATTTGACAAAAAGAAAAATTTGCTCTTTCACCAAAATCAGCCAAAACAGAACAAGCACAGACCAAAGTCCAAACCAAAAGGTGGGATCTTGCTCTAAGAATCAGAACAAAACGAGAACAACGGCAACGAATCGGAATGAAACAACAAAGTGAGGCAAGAAAAATAAAAAGAAAAGATGGGGTTTTGATCTAAGAATCAGAACAAACCAAGAAAACAAGCTAAGAGAATCACAGGGAGAAAGATGGGAAGAAAGAATGAGAGGAAAGGGTCTTTGTTTCTTTTTCTTTGTGAACCAAAGATTTTGAGGCGGCTAGAGAAAGAGAGGGAAATAGGACGGTTTGAGAAAAAGTGTGAAAGCAGGCTTTGAAATTAATGGAGAAAGAAAAGTTTTCTGAGAGAAAATAAATAAGAAAGAGCTTTGCGTGGAGGAATAAGAGCTATATATAAATATATATTGGCGGTGTCCACAGCCAATTTGGCAAAAGTTAAAACAAGCCTAATCAGTGTGGGGATTGAGCAAGAGAGCTGCCCGAAATATTGCGGGCAGCCCAAACCGTGTGAAATGGAATTTGGCGCCAAAACTTGAGGTTTGGTTAGCAACGGCTCTTATTCCCGCCTTTGGTTTTCTTGTGCTTTTACGATTGTGCCCTTGTTTCGAATTATTATTTTCTGGGGACTGATGTTGCCAGTCAGGGCACAATCACCGGCTTACAGAACGTTGTCGTTTAAGGTTAAATCACCGTACTATTGTCGGGTTCTGCCCAGCCTGGGCCTTGGGCCTGGGCCATTGTTGTTGTGTTCAATAAGGCAAGGCCAAGAATAGACCCTTCTACTACGAACCAACAAATAGAATGTACCCAAAAAAAATTGTAGAATTAGTTATTTTTTTTAAGGGTTAATTAAATGTTACATTCTCCAACCTAGGAATGGAATAAATTCCAGTCGGGCTGGGATACCAACAAACAAAGGTTATTTACATTTTACTCTCCAACCTCATCTTTAAAACACCTCAATGTTATACCTAAAGTTATGATTTTATTGCAACTTTAAATTTCTGTCTTATTAGCTATCTAAATGGAGAAATTATAGAATACTATGGTAGTATGATCACGTTGTATATCTTGTACACGTGTTATAATATGAGTAAACAATATGATTTATTTTTTCCATTTTAGAGAATAGTATCAATAAATATCCACTTATATTATAACACGTTATACAAAATGTATCACATTATTGTATTATCATAATATTTTATAATCACTCGTTAAAATGTCTGTTAAAGGATGATGTGATATGCACAAGATCCATTTCCTTAAAAAAATCCTCCACACGACTCCCCAATCAAGAGAAGAAGCATAGTAAGAAAATCAGGAAATTTGCTGCTAACGAAAATCCCAAAAATTGTTGCAACAGTAACATGTTTGAGACGTCAATAAGAATTTAGAATGGCAATAATTCTTGTGTTCCTTTATGAAATCAGCAAAGAATTCGAATGCTGATCTGCCAAAGCCATACCACGTTCACATGAAACGCAGAGGGTGGAAATCAGTGGCAAGATTTTACTTGAGGTATATGTGGGGTCCAGTGGGCGGCCAGCCATCTCAGCCATCCAATGGGAGAGTCGAAATCAAAGCTGACTAGGTGCCACATAAGCCTCTGCTCAGTCTCTCAACTACAAGTCTGTCCTGGGATCCTTTGGTGGTAGTCAATTCATGTGCGTTGTGCAGTGTCGGTGGGCCCATCCTGAAACAAGTACAGTCTATGTTCTTCTTGGACGGTGCTGATCCAACGTCAGCTCTTGGATCATATAAATTGGAATAATAATGCATTATGTTGATCAACTTAAAGGGGTGGGACTCTATGGGACCTCGGTGAATTGTGACGTGACATTAATTCTTTTTTTAGTCGGGTTGGACTTGGACATATATCCTAGATGGCGACAATACCCATGGTTTGACCACCGTACTTGAATTGAAACACTCGAGTTATAATTTCTCACCAAGTTAAACCACACTTGGGTGGGATTGTATCCGCGTTACTCTCCGCCGTGGATGAAAGTGAATAGCTAAACGTAACCACAGTATTTATGCGTGAATAAGCGACTGTTAGTGGCACTATTCTTATAAGTTTATGCGTACTAATATTATGCTACTCGGGACAACAACATGCACCTTGAAGCACAAGGACAGACAAATTATGAATTATTTAATAATTTATTTTATTATCTCAAAGCATTTTAAAGCAAATACATATATAGTGCATGCTGCACGCATTTTCTGACCATCAAATGCCATCCCAATCAAACGAATCGCTCTACACGAAGTGATCAAATTGTAAAACAAGTGTTATTTTTTATCGTAATATACGATTGTTTTGTTGAAAAAGTAGAGCCAAGTTGCAATCAGCTTTTGCTTATCCAACTAGGGGCGGCGAGCAACATCAGCAATGCTTTTTATTTGGTCGGTTTTTGATGGAGATGGTTGTCTTGTAATTTTATGCTATTTTTATTCGTAAAGCTTGAGTTGGGTGAGAGTAAATCTTACTAGAAATGAACAAAGTGCACAGATACACACAACAAGTTAGGTATAAAATCTGAATTTCGAGCAATTTTATTTCCACACACAATTATTCTAATCCTTTTGGACGGCTTAGATGGTCATCAGCGCAAATCATTTAGCTGGATGGTGCGCCAACTTGGCCATGCCAAGACTAAAAAATCCACAAGACCATGATTATAGCAATTATTCCCATTGGATGTTGAGATTCAATGAGATGGTTTCCTGGGACACCTAGCAGCGGGACCCTCCCATGCATGCCAACATGGACCGTCATATTTTTAAAATTATTTTCCTCATAATTAAATTTCAGACTGAGTGTTTAAATATCAAAATCATGATCGTTGCCTTATCTTGGAGAGAATATAGTCTTTGGACTCATTATAAAAGTAGCCAACTAGAAGCACCTACAGCCTGCTTTTCATATTTCTCACAGTAATTTCATTCAATTACACCATACGCAGTCTTCTAAATTACACGGTATATGCGTGTGGATTAGGTCAGTTGATCAGGATAGTGAGTCCGTCCACTTCCGCTCAAGTTCAAATCTTCTTTAATTGTAAACTAAGTTAAGTAATTTGGACGATATCACTTGATCCGTGACCAAACCCAACTCCAATAAAGTTGAAAGCTAAACTTGATGTCTGCATTTTACCATCACAATGATCAGCACTGCAAAACTCATCCGGCAAAAATATTATCTGGAAGAGGAACAAATTATATTAAGCAAATTAAGGAGCTGTAACCCCACATTTTCATAGGACAAGTTAATGATATGACAAAAAAGGGAATTTTCAAAAAGCCTGGCTGCTGCAATTTTTGCGTAGGAATAATTGGATCTAATTGAATGTGCAGTTTGTGTGAAGCTGCATGATTCTAGGCTAGCAGGTCATGTGAGCTATCAATCAATCAATCTGTAGGACCATTGCATTGGTGGCCAACTCATCCATACATTGCATATTATTAGCATATAAAAAGTGACAATTTTGTCAGTTCCTGTGGCTGCTGCTTTTGCTAATATAACTATCAACAGATTAATACAGTATGATAAAAAACACTGAACTCAAAAGCTGCAAAGCTAGTCAGCAGCAGCAGCAACAAAGGCAGACATAAAAAGCTTGCTACTGTTCCGTGGATTCAATTCAACTTAAAAGCTCCAAAGTTTGAGGTAGCTTTTGGAGTTTGGATCAAAACAAAGTTCCTTCATGCGCCTCAGAATCCACTATCTGCGGATTAATGGCAACAGAAGCTGATATTCCAGAAGCTATATCTGTCACGGTAGGGTATTCTAGAATCTTGATCACTACTCAAATAGCTTACTCTGTTTTTTTTCTGTAATCTCATGATCTTTGTATGATAGAATTATATCTTATCTTATAATTATGCGTTATAGTATAATTGTTCTCTTTGATGAAATATCAATCACAATCATATGTAGGCAAGATCATGTATTGCTAGTTACTACAAAGGGGTATCTTAACTTCAACACTTTCTTTTCCAGCAAAAAACTGAACACACCTTTTTTTAGCCAGAAACCAATGAGCAGGTACTATTTTTCAATCCAGAAGCAGTATTAGATGAACGAAGAGGATCCTCTCCTTTGTTTTTTCTCCCTCTTTTCTATCCTTCCTCAAAATTGAAATTTTAAGAGCTTAATAAACATAACCCTATTGTTCATTTTTTTCGGTATACTTAAAAGGGAGAAGTTCAAGAAAGTCTCTTGATTTTGAAAACAAATAAATCCAATTCAAGAGATCCACCACACAGTCAAGAACAATAAAAAAAATCAACATTAAATTATGCTTAAATGAAATAAAATAAATCGGCTTCGAGAGAATCCTTCCCGGACTTGCATTGTGACATGGAATCTGGGATGGCAGGACTAAGCGGCAGCTATAGACTAGGCAACATATCTCCAATTGGCTCCCTTGGCGCATCAATATGAGATTGCACAACTGGAGAGAAACAAGTGCTCATCATGTCAAAGGAACCCCTATTTGTTGCACTTGCACTGGGAGATGACTGAGGAGTTGGACAAGTTACACTGTACCCGTACAAGAGCTGTTGTTCCTCACGAATTGTCAAAACTCCATTATCATTCCTTGCAACATGTTCTACTGCCAATTCTGTTTCCGAAAAAATCTTTGCTTGTATCCACAGAGTCCATATAAGCATAAGTATCATCAAACTCCAAAAAAAATCTATTTCAAATCAAACAAGTCAACAGAAGCCAAATTTGTGTCTCTATTTCCACTGCAATTATGTACCTCTTCCTTTATGGGCAACGCTGCAATTGGGTTACTATATCCCTTTTTTTTTTCCACTAAAAAACTTGTAGGAGCAGAAAACATAGAAACCATACTAGAAGCCTCCAATTCCAAATGGGAATCGGTGATTTGGGCATTGCAGGGGTGTTTGGGAAGGAGAAATTCTGTTTCTAAACCTTTTCATTCTTAAATCTTCTTCGAACATAAGTTTTCTCTAACCTCTCGGCGTTCCCAAACACCCCTGCAAAGTCCATTGTGTGGTGGATCTCTTGAATTGGATTTATTTGTTTTCAAATCAAGAGACTTTCTTGAACTTCTCCTTTTGAAGTACACTGAAAAAAATGAACAATTGGGTTGTGTTTATTAAGCTCTTAAGATTACAATTTTGAGGAAGGATAGAAAAGAGGGAGAAAAAACAAAGGAGGAGAACCTCTTCGTTCATCTAATACTGCTTATGGATTGAAAAAAGGTGTTCAAGTTTGCAACATACAGACAAGAACAATTCAACGTAACTATTATTGTTATGCTTGAAATTTTGAATTTGATGTTAGAACAATGAATCCGATACACCAGGTCCAAATTGCAACATACATACAAGAACAGTTCAACGTAACTATTATGGTTATGCTTAAAGCTTGATCATTTCTTATTTAGGATTAGTATTATAAAGTTTATCTTTTTTTTATCAAAAGAGATCAAAAGGTTGCTGCCTTTTCATTTTTATTTCCCTCCAACATATAGTTTTCATCCTCTGTGTATAAGATTATGCACTTATCTACAAAGTACCTAAATAAGTTATAGAAAAGGGGTAATGAAAGAAAAGAATGCTAGATGGTCTTCCTTGCCCCCCAATTCTCTTCCTTGCCCCCCAATTCACAGCACTTGAGGAATGCTAGATTAGATTTCGACGTCCTCTGCCCATCTATGGCACCGTCTGTTTCTTTTCTTTATCTGGCATTTCTGCTTTATCTTGTATCTTAATTGGTCTTTGGTTGTGATGTATGCGTGCTTGTAGTCCCCTCCTAATTGGACTCCTGCTTCTGTATTTGCTTGCGCTTTTTGCGCCTTGGTATTGATTTCCAGCTTCCAAAAAAAAAGAAAAAAAGAAAGAAAAGAAACACACCCAAATATGCAAAGTGAAGATATGTATTCTAAAAGAACACTTACGAAAACAAACATTCACCATAAAACATTGAGCTACTTCATCCATGCGTCAAAGAATGGCTTCTTAACCTACATTCTGCGCCACGAAAGAAATTGAAATACAACTTCAGTGTGTTCATAAATATAAAAAAGGATATACAATTTTGAGGCTCAAAATGAGTTAAATCGATGACAAGTGATGCTAAATGGTTTTTTGAATTCACAAACCAGAGGGGAGAGAGATACAATAAGCCCATGACAGTTAAAGAACCAGAACAATGTGTAAATCTATGCTTCTTTTGTTACATTTTGTTATAGAACTCCTAGTTAGAAAAAATGTAACAATTCCTTCTTAATGTAGAAAGAAGGGGAAGGCAGATATTTGACAAGCGGGCAGTTCGACATCATGATCAGCCAATGTTCTCCTGTGCAAGTGAATAAATCCGAAGGTGAGTCCGATCAGCATTTGGAAACAGTGAAATGCTTTGCAGAGGGTGAAAACACACAGGTGGGATGTAGTGCGCAGGTTGAAAGCAAGAACAGCAGCATTGGAATCTCAGAAGGAGGAAGTTTTTTTGCATCACCCTCAGATTCTAAGGTTGACAAACAAGAGACTTGCGTATCGGAGAATTCCCAAGGTGATGAATCAAATCAAGCAGAAATGGAGAGTTTAGACAAGGAAGACCAGCTTCTGAGAGGCAAAGAGTTTGGAGTTGTAGAAGAAACAGAAAGTAAGGAAAAAGAAGTCTTGGAAGAAATAGACAAAAAGGCTGAACAACATATTGAAAGTCATGGCATTGCCAATGACCTTGATGAACATGTTCAAGTAATCTCAGACCAACAGGATTCAATCAATGAAAATCCACAATGTGTTGAAAAGGAGGCAAAGAGTTCACATGAAGATGTGAAAGGAAGGCAAATGGCAGATGAAATTGCTGATTCATCTAGTGAACACGTTTCCGTTCTACTTGAGGAACGCTCATTTCAAGAGGATGAAGCTGCAGTTCGTACTCTCGATTTGACGAACAACAGCTTCAAGAAGGATATTATGCCAGAGACCTCAATTGATGAAAACACAGACAATACCTCCAGCACCAATACCATATTTCAAGAAGAATTTGAGGAAGAAACAGGAATCAAAGGACTAAAGAACAAGGCACCGGAGTCCTTTTATGCAGTGTATGAGGAGAAGGGTCCTGAAGCAACTGTGTTTAACAATGATAGAAGTACAGATGATGACTCCAGCTCAACAATAGTTGCAGGTCCTGACATTCCGAATGATGAAGCAGCCTTGGAAGCTAAAGAGTGTGCTGAGGACAAGCTACAAGAGACATCTATGACAGATGATCATGAGGAAAAAGCTGGACTTGAAGTAGGGAAGAAGGCAAATGAGGCCCCTGGTATCCCAGACACTCCACTTATCACACAAACAGAAGAGGCACACTTGCCGGAAGTAGGAAATCCTGATATATTCGAAGTATATCCTGAAATCGGGTCAGAAGACATCATCAAGGAGAGTCCAAAAGAACCTGAGTACCAAAACGAATTCCTTGAGGAAACTCCCGAAGCCAGTAACACTGCAAGTGAAACAGTTAAAGATGATGAAAGTTCAGAACGACATTTTGGCAGTCCATGCATGAAACAAGAGGAAAATACACAGAGAAAAGGTGAGGCACTGGATGTGGGAGAGGCTAAAGCAGGGGAGGAGGAGGATAGCCAAGGATTTGCTGCTGTAGGACCTATCCAGGAAACAGAGCAGAGCAATATGAATTCAGCAGAACGCGAAGGAGAAACTGAGACTAACTTAGTTGAGCAAATTGAATCTGCACACTACGATATTGAAAGACCCTTGAATTTAAATTCTGAGGAGAATGACACAGAAACTTTGAGAGAAAATACCAAAACAATTACCACTGATGAAGCAGAGAGACAAGTTATAAACCTTGAACAAAGCTTCAAGAAAGAAGGGAAGGAAGATTCAGCAATTCCTAGTTATGAAATCACTGAAGATGAAATTCCTGAAGAAAAGGTAACTAAAATACCTACTTGAACCCCCTTTTATTGGAATTCAAAAGTTCTTGACTATAAAGTTCTGTTAATAATATATCTCAGACCTTTTTCAATGATTCTTTTATCCAATATTTGGTTCATGTTATTTTCTTTGCAGAATATCCTAGAGATAATATAATTCAAAGATATCTTTATGCAGGTTCTTAAAGAACCAGAGATTTCTGGAGGAGGTGAGAGCACCACACGGGAGCTAAATAAGAATATCGAAATACCTGAAAATATTCTTAATACGTCAACAGTGAAATGTGAAGAAGGTGAGCAGGGAGAAGGTAAGAACACAGCTCCAACAAAAGCTACAGAAGAGGATCACAGAGATGAGGACCCATTTACTGTCGAAGTGGCTGAAGAAGATCATGACTATAACAGTGCAATCTCGGTTACAGAAATGAGCGCAAAAGTAACATCAAATGATGAAGAAGATGCACCACAGGCCTTGCAGAAATATGAACCAGGAGGGGAGCTTCAAAATGTGCTGGATGTGATGCCTGAGGACATTAAGACAGAAACATCCAGGGAAAGTGCAGAAGTAATTATCTGCAGAAAAGAGGAAAGAACAATTCAGAACTCACAAGAATCCTCAGACAAAGAAAAGATAGAAGATATCGAAAGCACAAATAATACAGAAGAAAATGACACTGCAGTGGTGGAGGTAAGATTAGAATAAACTTTGTTATGAGTTTTTCTTTCTGGCTTATCATGTGATACCCCCATAGAAACTTTGTTGAGTTCTTTTTTTCCCCCATTTTAGGCATGTACTAAGGCAGCTGATTTGAGTACAATTATAGAGGAAAAGAACTTAGAGGAGCAGGAAATTCAGAAACTCTCTTCTTCATTGGTAGTAGAAGAAACAACTAAGGAAATCTCAGAGGAAGAAGAAATCTATGGAGTGATACTAAAAGAAGAGGTCAGCTTGCATACAATATCAGAATTTTTATTTTCTTTAGATGATTTCATCATACTATTATTTTACAAATGCCAATTCACAAAATCATATCCCTAACAGAGAAAGGAAGCACATGCAAAATGTAAGGAGCCCGCTGAGGGAGCAAATCTGACACAAGACTTAAAATCTGAAACTACAGAAGAGAGAACAGAGACAGATAAGGACATCTATGCTCCAATTTCAGAGGGAGAAACCCATGCAGAAGAAAGCAAGACAACATTTGTTCCAAAAAATTCCTTTCTCTCTGATGTACCCGAGATGGAGATCGAAAAACATTTTCAGGTGAACTATGTGCCTACAGTTAGCAATTTTGACTCTGTGTCCGGAATAGTGAGTAAAGTAACAGGCTTGGAGGAAGCTGAAACAGAGAACCAGGAGCAGGAAAAAAAGAATGATATTACTCCTGAAGAGAAGGTTCTACCAACCATCTTCACCAGCGAAAAGATTAATGTACAAGAAGAGGAAAATTTCAATTCAAAAGAGAAGTTGGAGAATCAGATTCCAACAACAGCATGCTTGAAAGAAGCTGAAGCAGAAAATAAGGAGCATGTCCAAAATACTGATCCTGAAGAGAAGGGTGTAGAAACCATCTTAACAGATAAAACAGCCTTGGACATTGAAGATATTGCTGTACAAGCAGGGGAAAATTTCAATTCAAAAGAGAATTTGGAGGAGCAGATTCCAACAGCTGCAGATGAAGGTGAAACATTCTGGAAGGAAGCTGAAGCAGAAAATAAGAAGGAGATCAAACATACTGATATTGCTTCTGAAGAGAAGGGTCAAGAGATCATCTTAACGGATGAAACGGCCTTGAACATTGAAGACATTAATGTACAAGCAGAGGAAAATTTGAATTCAAAAGACAACTTGGAGAAGCAGATTCCAACATCAGCAGATGAAGGTGAAACATTCTCGAATGAAGCAGAAGCAGAAAAGGAGGAGGAGATCAAACATACTGACATTGCTCTGGAAGAGAAGGGTCTAGAAACCATCTTAACGGATGAAACTGCCTTGGACATTGAAGACATTTATGTCCAAGCAGAGGAAAATTTCAATTCAAAAGAGAACTTGGAGGAGCAGATTCCAACAGCAGCAGATGAAGGTGAAACATTCTGGAAGGAAGTTGAAGCAGAAAACAAGGAGGAGATCAAACATACTGATATTGCTTCTGAAGAGAAGGGTCTAGAAACCATCTTAACGGATGAAACAGCCTCGGACATTGAAGACATTAATGTACAAGCAGAGGAAAATTTGAATTCAAAAGACAACTTGGAGGAGCAGATTCCAACATCAGCAGATGAAGGTGAAACATTCTCGAATGAAGCAGAAGCAGAAAACAAGGAGGGGATCAAACATACTGATATTGCTCCGGACGAGAAGGGTCTAGAAACCATCTTAACGGATGAAACGGCCTTGGACATTGAAGACATTTATGTACAAGCAGAGGAAAATTTCAATTCAAAAGACAACGTGGAGGAGCAGATTCCAACAACAGCAGATGAACATGAATCATGCTTGAAAGAAGCCCAAGCAGAAAATAAGGAGCAGGTAAAAAATACTGATATTATTCCTGAGGAGAAGGGTTTAGTAACCATCTTAACAGATGGAACATCCTTGGACATTGAAGATATTTATGTTCAAGCAGAGGAAACTTTCAACACAAACGAGAACTTGGAGGGGCAGATTCCAAAAGCAGCGGATGAAGGTGAAACGTTCTTGAAGGAAGTTGAAGCCCAAAATGAGGAGCAGGCGAAAAATATTGATATTGGTCATGAAGAGAAGGGTCTACCAACCATCTTAACAGATGAAACGGCCTTGGACATTGAAGATAATGACGTACAAGCAGAGGAAAATTTTAATTTAAAAGAGAACTTGGGGAAGGAGATTCAAACAACAGCAGATGAACGTGAAACATTCTTGAAAGAAGCCGAAGCAGAAAATCAGGAGCAGGTCAAAACTACTGATATAGTTCCAGAAGAGAAGGGTCTGGCAACAATCTTAACAGATGAAACATCCTTGGACGTTGAAGATATTGATGTACAAGCAGAGCAAAACTTCAAATCAAAAGAGAACTTGGATGAGCAGATTCCAACAGCAGCAAATGAAGGCCAAACATGCTTGAAGGAAGCCGAATCAGAAAACAAGGAGCAGACAAAAGATATCAATATTGCTCCAGAAGAGAAGGGTCTAGCAACCATCTTAACAGATGAAACGGCATCAGAAATTGAAGATAGTGATGTACAAGCAGAGGAAAATTTCAACTCAAAAGAGAACTTAGAGAAGCAGTTTCCAACAGCAGCAGATGAAGTTAAAACATGCTTGAAAGAAGCCAAAGCAGAAAATAAGGAGCAGGTCAAAGATACTGATATTGTTCATGAGGAGAAAGGTCTAGCGACCGTCTTAACAGATGACACATCCTTGGACGTTGAAGATATTGATGTACAAGCAGAGCAAAATTTCAACTCAAAAGAGAACTTGGAGGAGCAGATTCCAACAGCAGCAGATGAAGATAAAACATGCTTTAAGGATGCCGAAACAGAAAACAAGGAGCAGACAAAAACTACTGATATTGCTCCAGAAGAGAAGGGTACAGCAACCATCTCAGCAGTTGAAACGGCCTTGGACATTGAAGATATTGATGTAAAAGGAGAGAAAAATTTAGAGAAACAGATTCCAACAGCAGCAAATGAAGGAGAAACATGCTTGAAGGAAGCCGAATCAAAAAACAAGGAGCAGACAAAAGATATCAATATGGGCCTAGCAACCACCTTAACAGATGAAACGGCATCAGAAATTGAAGATAGTGATGTACAAGCAGAGGAAAATTTCAACTCAAAGGAGAACTTAGAGAAGCATTTTCCAACAGCAGCAGATGAAGTTGCAACATGCTTGAAAGAAGCCAAAGCAGAAAATAAGGAGCAGGTCAAAGATGCTGATATTGTTCATGAGGAGAAAGGTCTGGCTACCGTCTTAACAGATGACACATCCTTGGACGTTGAAGATATTGACGTACAAGCAGAGCAAAATTTCAACTCAAAAGAGAACTTGGAGGAGCAGATTCCAACAGCCGCAGATGAAGATAAAACATGCTTTAAGGATGCCGAAACAGAAAACAAGGAGCAGACAAAAACTACTGATATTGCTCCAGAAGAGAAAGGTCTAGCAACCATCTCAGCAGTTGAAACGGCCTTGGACATTGAAGATATTGATTTAAAAGCAGAGGAAAATTTCAACTCTAAAGAGATTTTAGAGAAGCAGATTCCAACAGCAGCAAATGAAGGAGAAACATGCTTGAAGGAAGCCGAATCAGAAAACAAGGAGCAGACAAAAGATATCAATATTGCTCCAGAAGAGAAAGGTCTAGCAACCATCTCAGCAGTCGAAACGGCCTTGGACATTGAAGATATTGATTTAAAAGCAGAGGAAAATTTCAACTCAAAAGAGAACTTGGAGGAGCAGATTCCAACAGCAGCAGATGAAGTTGAAACATGCTTGAAAGAAGCCAAAGCAGAAAATAAGGAGCAGGTCAACGATACTGATATTGTTCATGAGGAGAAAGGTCTAGCGACCGTCTTAACAGATGACACATCCTTGGATGTTGAAGATATCGACGTACAAGCAGAGCAAAATTTCAACTCAAAAGAGAACTTGGAGGAGCAGATTCCAACAGCAGCAGATGAAGATAAAACATGCTTTAAGGATGCTGAAACAGAAAACAAGGAGCAGACAAAAACTAATGATATTGCTCCAGAAGAGAAGGGTCTAGCAACCATCTCAGCAGTTGAAACGGCCTTGGACATTGAAGATACTGATGTACAAGCAGAGCAAAACTTCAAATCAAAAGAGAACTTGGATAAGCAGATTCCAACAGCAGCAAATGAAGGCGAAACATGCTTGAAGGAAGCCGAATCAGAAAACAAGGAGCAGACAAAAGATATCAGTATTGCTCCAGAAGGGAAGGGTCTAGCAACCATCTTAATAGATGAAACGGCATCAGAAATTGAAGATAGTGATGTACAAGCACAGGAAAATTTCAACTCAAAAGAGAACTTAGAGAAGAAGTTTCCAACAGCAGCAGATGAAGTTGAAACATGCTTGAAAGAAGCCAAAGCAGAAAATAAGGAGCAGGTCGAAGATACTGATATTGTGCATGAGGGGAAAGGTCTAGCAACTGTCTTGACAGATGACACATCCTTGGATGTTGAAGATATTGATGTACAAGCAGAGCAAAATTTGGAGGAGCATATTCCAACAGCAGCAGATGAAGATAAAACATGCTTTAAGGATGCCGAAACAGAAAACAAGGAGCAGACAAAAACTACTGATATTGCTCCAGAAGAGAAGGGTCTAGCAACCATCTCAGCAGTTGAAACGGCCTTGGACATTGAAGATATTGATGTAAAAGCAGAGGAAATTTTCAACTCTAAAGAGATTTTAGAGAAGCAGATTACAACAGCAGCAGATGAAGGTGAAACAGGCTTGAAGGACCCTGAAGCAGAAAAAAATGAGCAGGTAAAAATTGATATTGCTCCTGAAGAGAAGGTTCTAGCAACCATCTTAACAGATGAGACATTGTTGGATGTTGAAGATATTGATGTACAAGCAGAGCAAAATTTCAACTCAAAGGGGAACTTGGAGGAGCATATTCCAGCAGCAGCAGATGAAGGTGGAACATGCTTGAAAGAAGCCAAAGCGGAAAATAATGAGCAGATCAAAGATACTGATATTGTTCATGAGGAGAAAGGTCTAGCGACCGTCTTAAAAGATGACACATCCATGGACATTGAAGATTTTGATGTTCAAGCAGAGCAAAATTTCAACTCAAAGGAGAACTTGGAGGAGCAGATTCCAACAGCAGCAGATGAAGATAAAACATGCTTTAAGGATGCCGAAACAGAAAACAAGGAGCAGACAAAAACTACTGATACTGCTCCAGAAGAGAAAGGTCTAGCAAACATCTCAGCAGTTGAAACGGCCTTGAACATTGAAGATATTGATGTAAAAGCAGAGGAAATTTTCAACTCCAAAGAGATTTTGGAGAAGCAGATTACAACAGCAGCAGATGAAGGTGAAACAGGATTGAAGGATGCCAAAACAGAAAATCATGAGAAGGTAAAAAATGATATTGCTCCTGAAGAGAGGGCTCTGGCAACCATCTTAACAGATGAAACGGCATCAGAAATTGAAGATAGTGATGTACAAGCAGAGGAAAGTTTCAACTTAAAAGAAAACTTGGAGAAGCAGATTCCAACAGCAGCAGATGAAGGTGAAACAGGCTTGAAGGAATCCGAATCAGAACACAATGAGCGGGTAGAAAATGACATTGCTCCTGAAGAGAAGGTTCTAGCAACCATCTTAACAGATGAAACGGCCTTAGACATTGAAGATATTTACGTAGAAGCAGAGGGGGGAAATTTTGACTCAACGGAGTTCTTGGAAAATCAGATTCCAACAGAAGCAGGTAAGACCACGGAGCAAAGCTTTCAAGTGCAAAGTCTTGAGGAAGCAGATCCAACATTGGGAGTTGAAGATGAGAGTCACAAATCAGAAGATCATCCTGAGAAGAATAACATGATAGTTGAAGAGGTATGCAATATAATAGAACATGAATGAACATATATAATATTATATATTCATGAGACATGCAAAGCACAAAATCACGTACGAACACTAAATACAATACAATTTATATCTTTCCTTATTCTTTATGAAGCCGCAATGGTTGCAGGTCTTTGATAAACCAAAGATCACAGGCAGAGATTTGAACAAAGAAGAAATCCTAGAAGGCAATGTCACCTTTTCACCAGAATCAATTGAAGAAGATACAGGTAATAACTCCCAAGAAATTGAAAAAGAGATAAAAAATCTCAAAGAAGAGGGAAGCAGTGTAGAGAGCATGAAAGAAGGCAATGGTGATGACCTCTCACCAGAGTATATTCCAGAAGATGAAAGTGAAAAGTTCAAAGAAGACAAAATGGATGCGGTGGAGTCGAAAGGAGAGGTCAGCTTACAAGCCTCCCTCTCTACAGAAAATATTATTTTTCTTTGTATGTATATTTTAAATCTAAACTATCTTTTGTGCAGATCCTTGAAGAGTCACATACTGCTGGAATAGGTGAGAACACAGTATCTGAGACAAATAAGATTGCTGAAGAAATTCTTAGTACTTTACCAGTGAAATATGAAGAAGGTCAGCAGGGAGAAGGTAGCATCCCAGCTTCAGCAAAAGCTTCAAAGGAAGAAGACCCAATTGCGGACACATTTCCTGTCAAGTTGGCTGAAGTCGAGGATGATGATATTAGTACAGTCGCGGTTATAGAAACGAGTGCGAAGGTAATTGGTGAAGAAGGTTCACCACGGGCTGTGCAGAAATATGAACCAGGAGAGGGGCTTCAAAAATTGCTGGATGTGATGCCCGAAGAAACCAAGGCAGAATCATCAAGAGAAAATGCACAAGTAATTACATGCACAAAGGAGGAAAGAGCAATTCAGAACATAAAAGAATCCAAAGAAGAAGATACAAATGCCATAAATGAAGCGAAAGAAAAAGACACAGGATCGGAAGAGGTAAGATTAGCATCAAAATGTTATGACTTTTTCTTATTGGCTTAGCCGCAGGATAAATAAACAAGTCACTGATCATATGAACACAGGTAAACATCATGTAGTATTTTTAAAATGGAACCGAAAATTTATTTGTTCGAAAAATCGGCTAGGCGGGTCTGGGCGCTTGGGCGGGCTGGGTCCCTTTTTTTAAAAAAGTTTTTTTTTTTGGGTTGAGTTTGAGTCCGACACCGACAGTCTTGGAGGGATATGGAGAGGAGGAAGAGTTAGAGGCCTAGCTTTTCATTTCAAGTATTTTTCTTTGTAGTACTATTATATGCTTTATGCTGAACCTTTTTTTTTACATATTTTATATCAATTTTGTACTTTATAATTTATATATCCTTTTATTTTGCATGATTTTGGTATAAATTTATAATTTATAGAACAAAATAATTATACATAAATAAGAAATGCCTAGGCCGCGGTTACTACTCCTCTAGGCGCTAGGCCCCTGCCTGCAGCCCGCCTATGGCCTAGCGATTTATTGAGCATTGCGGAAATATATATTTATAGTTTCACTCTTTTCTTAATCCATTGTCTTCAAGGTGCTATAGTGCTATAGAAAAGTTTATGTAGATTTGGAAAATGGTTAGGAAGAACTCCTATGAACCAGCAGTTGAAAGCTGACAGCCTTTGTTACTATCAGAAGAAACCTTAGAAGCTATCATCAATAAGGAAGCAAATTGTTATATATTGACATTATATGCCTGCTATCCCAGTTTATAATCCTTTCATCTCTTATATTATATAGGTGTTGGAGAGAAACAGTAGAGAACAAGAAACAGGAGAACATGCATTACGGGAAATTCATCCTCAAGAATTCAATGATAAAGAGACAACTGAAGACAACTCCGCGGAATATCAGGTCTTGAACACAAGCATAAGCCTTACTGAAATACATGATCCCTTTTTGGTCTTCTCTAATCACAAAACTCACACTTCTCCATGTAGGCGTGTATTGAGGCAGCTGATTTTAGCACAAAAATAGTACAAGGAAACTTAGAGGAACAGGCCAATCGGGAACTCTCTTCTTCACTGGTGGGAGACAACATAATTAAGGAAAGCTCAGAAGAAGAAGAAAATTATGTGTCGACTCTGAAAGAAGAGGTCAGCTTGCATACGATATCAAAATCAGTTTTTTCAGATTGTTCCGTGATGTTATTTATTTACAGCTGTCAATTTACAAATTTATAACAGAAAAAGGAAGCGCATGAGGAATGTAAAGAGCCCATTGAGGTCACAAATATGATGGAGGAGGAAACAAACTCTGAAACTTTTAAGGACAAAAGAAAGCCAAATGAGGACCTCTGTACTCCTATTTCAGAGGAAGAAACCCATGCAGAAGAAAGTAATTCCTTTCAGTCCGAGTTATCTGAGAAGGATGGCTCCACAGTTATCAATTCTGACTCTGTGTCTGGAATTGTGAGGCACCAAACAGTCCTGAAGGAAGCTGAAGCAGAAAACAAAGAGCAGGTCGAAAATACTGATACTGCTCTTGATGAGAAGGGTCTAGCAACCATCTTGACGGATGGAACTACCTTGGACGTTGAAGGTATTGATGAACAATCAGATGAAAATTCCAACTCAAAAGAGTTCTCAGAGAGCCAGATTCCAACAGTTGCGGTTGTGGATGAAGTTGAAGAGAAGGTAGGACTTGGAAATATCAATTTAGATGACGCCCCTGTTAACTTTCAAGTGCAAAGTCTTGAAGAAGCAGAACCAACACCGAGAGTTGAAGATGAGAATAATAACATGATAGCTGAAGAGGTATGCAATATAAAATATGATGAGCATATGCATGTGACAGCATGCACACAACACAATTATATAAAAACACTAATTAATCTCATATTTCTAAATTTCTTCCTTTTTCTAGGTGAAGCCTCAACTGTTGGACCAGGTCTTTGATGAACCAAAGAACACTGAGGGAGATTTCAATAAAGGACAAATCATAGAAGCCAATGCTGCAATTTTTTCACCAGAATTAATTCAAGAAGAAACAGTTAAGAACTCTCAGGACAATGACAAGGAGACAGAAAAGTTAAAGGAAGAGGGAAGCAGCATAGAGAACATAAAAGAACTCAATGCTAATGACCTCCAACTAGAGTCTATTCCAGAAGATGGAAGTGAAAAGTTCAAAGATGACAAACTGGAAGCAGTGAAGTTCAAAGGAGAGGTTAGCTTATAAGGCTCACTTTGTCCCTAGGGAAAATATTGGTTTGGATTTGTATGTCTATTTTATTGTATTTGTATGTCTATTTTAAATATAATCTTATCTTTTATACAGATCCTTCAAGAGTTACATGCTGCTGGAGTAGGTGAGGGCACCGCATGTGAGACAAGTAAGATTGCTGAAAGGTCTGAAGAAATTTTTTATACTTTACCAGTGAAATATGAAGAAGGTCCACTTCGAGAAGGTAACAGTCCAACTTCAGCAAAAGCTTCAAATGAGGAGGATAAAGATGAAGAAACATTTTCTGTCAAAGTGGCTGAAGACGATGATAGCAACAATGGTGCAGTCACAGTGACAGAAACAAGTGAAAAGGTGACATCAAATGAAGAAGGAGATTCATCACAGTCTTTGGAGAAATATGAATTGGGAGAGGAGGTACAGGTTAAAACTAGTGATTTAGCATATGAAAACAAGGTTTACAACCTGGAGGTCAAAGCTTCTTTTGCTGAAAGGACAGCAGAAGAGACAAGCTTGAGAAAGGAAGGGCACAAGGAGGTTTCGGATTTGGCTTTGGAAAAGCTAGATGTTGATGCAACTGAAGAAGAAATCAGAGAAGGATCTGAAATAGTTCCTAAATCTGATTCTCAAAGCATTGATGTAGTTTCCAAAGATGATATCATTGCTTGTCAGGCACTCCACGAAGGGATATCAAAGGAGCAACTTCAAATACCATCTTCTACATTGCTTCCCGAGGAAAAAGAGCTCAAATCTAATCAACATGAGCATGAAACTACAACCCAAGACAAGAATATAGAAGAAGAGCACACACATGAAAGGGCAGTGCCAGCTGATGAAAACACGGGAGATTTATTTGCTGCGAGGTCAGTAGAAGAGGCACATTTGCAAAAGGAAGAACCCAGAGAGCTCAAAGCTTCTGAATTGTCTCTGGAAAAGCTAGATGCCGGTGAAAGTGAAGAAGAAATCAAAGAAAGTTTTGAAACGGTCTCTAAATCTGATTGTCTAAGCATTGATGCAGTTTCCAAAGATGAAATCATTGATGATCAAACACTCCTTGAGGGGATAACAGACATGCAACTTCAGATACCATCTCATAGTTTGCTTCCCAAGGAAGAGGAGCTCAAAACTTATGAACACGAGCACGGAATTACAACCCAAGACAAATCCATAGAGGAAGAGCATGCCAAGAAAATAGAAATGCCAGAAGAGACAATCTTGCACAAGGAAGAGGCCAGGGAGCTCAAAGTTTCTGAATTGGCTCCAGAAGAGTTGAATGCTGATGAAACAGAAGAAATCAAAGAAACCTTTGAAACAGTGTCTAAAGCTGATTCTCAAAGCACTGATGTAATTTCCAAAGATGAGATCATTGCTTATCAGATAGTCCATGAAGGGATATCAAAAGAGCAACTTCAGATACCATCTTCTATATTGCTTCATGAGGAAAAGGAGATCAAAGCTTCTGAAGATGAACATGGAACTACCTCGGAAGAGATATGTCCACAAAAGGAAGAGCCCAAGGATGCCAAGGTTTCTGAAATGGCTCTGAAGACACTGGATGCGGATGAAACTGCAGAAGAAACAGAAGAAACTTGTGAAACAGCAAATACACTTGCTTCTCAAAGCATTGATGTAGTTACCGAAGATGAAGTTGTCGATGATCAGACACTCTGTAAAGTGATATTAAAAGAGACTCCATCTACTGCATTTCTCACAGGTGAAACGAAGCATGCCACAATCACTACGACAGAAGAAGAAAACATGAGCAATGTGCAAATACAGGATGATGAGAACGGAAACGCTGCAAGCACAGCAGAAGAGAAAAGCTTGCCAAAGGAAGAGCCAAGCGAACTCAAAGTGTCTGATGTTGAGCTTTACTCTAGTGAAGAATTACAAAAGGAAAGTTCAAATGAAGTTCATGAGGAAGAACGGAGCTCTCTGATAGGAGTTCCAGAAGTAGAGCCTCATGACGATGAAGAAGGGGAAAGATATGATGATTCTCCATTGGGGAACCAGAAAACCACAGAACTAAAGGGAACAACCATGGAAGCCTCCAATCTTGACATTGAAACAAGTGAAAATGCTTCTGACTGTGCTCCAGAAGAAGGCTTCAGCAGATCACAAGATGCTACGATAAACAGAGAGCACCTAAAGAATGAAGCAAATGAAACAAATGAAAACATAAAGAATGAAGTTTCTAATGAACAGAAGCATCTTGAGGTAGCAATATCTGATTCAAGGGCAGAAGAGAGGTGGTGTGAGACAACAATTGAAGCAAATGAAACCAGGAAGAATGAAGTTTCAAATGAAGAGGTTAGATAATGAAATTGGACCGTACTTAGATATTAAATTTCATCTCTCTGATTCTCTTCTTCCCTTTCCCCAAACACCCTCCTCCTTTATTTTCTGTTCTCGCATTGCAATTTCTGTATTAACTTAGGCGGAAACTTAAAACAGATGGAGGCTGAAGAGCTAGAGGCAAAAGATTTGCGGCCGATTTCTGTTAGTGGAGAAAACATCAGCCATAGAGAACAAGAAAATGAGTTGATAGCTGAAAAATATGAAGGAGAGAAGAGTGAATCATTTAATACCGCAAGAAATGAAAATCAGGACAACGAGGTTAGAGCATAGACAGCATTCTTCTCTTAGTTTTTCATTATGTGTGAAGTTCAATCTTTAAAGATTCTGTTATCTATACTCATGCAGGAATCCCCGAAAGAAACTACACAAGTGGCTAAACATTTAACTGAAGACAAAGAACTTCAAACCGAAGAGAATCTGTGTGACACAACAGTTGAAGCAAATGAAAAAATTAAGACTGGACTTTCAAATGATGAGGTCAAATATACAATTGGACTACCCCATCATATTTTTATCCTGCAGTTATCTATATATTAGAGAAAGTACTAACACTGGGTATATTATCAGATCAAGGAGGATAAGGAACTTCCAAAGGATTCTGAGGCAGACTCTGTCAGAGAAGAGAGCCATCAAGAAAAAAAAACAATAGCTGAAGAGTATCAAGTAGAGAAGACCAACGAAAGTTCTGTGATCAGAACAAACGAAAATCGGGGCGAGGTCAGTGAATAGAAAACAAACGTTCTTAATTACCATTTTAAGATAAATCTTCATAACCTATAATATTGAATATTTCATCTATAATTCAGTTGCCTGAGGAGAAAGATACAACAGCTAGCAAAGAAGTGCAAACTGAAGAGGAAGAAGAAGAGCACGAAAATGCTGAAGAAGTAAAAACATATGAAGAGACGGGAGAAAATGAACACAAAAATGCAGAGCCAGGCTATGATTCTCCCGTCATTGTAGAAGCCTCTAGAGATGCTGATGCTAAGATTTCACATAAGAAATCCCATAATATCCTTTCGGGTATCAAGCATTCAATATCCAAGGTGAAGAAAGCCATTACCGGCAAGTCTTCTCATTCAAAGACACAATCAGAAAAATAAATAAATAAACAAAACCAAGTCGGTTCCGACAGTTGAAGAATTGGATGAATAAAGGTTTTATGTGGGTGTGCTTGTTCTAAGAGGTTTGAGTGTGGTATGTGTGCTTGTGCAGCTTGAATAAGTTCAATATTCTTTATTTGTATAAAGTGAGTTAAAGAATTGCCTTATTGTAAATTTGTAATCTTTTTGCCAATTTCTAGTGCATATATACAAGAAAATGGAGTGTACAGAGCCAGTGTTCATCATTTTGATTATTTGAGTGAAATTTTATTTTATTTTTCTCAATTCTTATATCTAAATCACGCATACCAACCTTAAATCTCAAAAAAGAAAATATACCAAGAGATACCATTACTGAAGTTACCTATAAGTTACCAATATGCACATGAATAATAAAAATCAACTAGCTAGCTAGCTATTCAATGTATGGTGTGAACCAAACAGGTTGAGTATTGAATAGGCTAGTACGAGGGTGATCATTGGGAACAATAAAACGCTGGATGTTCTTGTTTGTCAAGGAAAACACCCCAAAGTCGCGTCCCATCCACGGTGATGCTAAACAAGGATTATCGAAAGCAAAACAAATGCAATTTCCTTCAACTCACTTCTTATAATCACCATAACTGAGACGGAGGCTTGTAGCAGAGATGAGCTTGTTGCTTGCCTTGCTCAGGAACAATATCCTATCGCCGCCGAGGTCTTCAACCTCTACCCACTGAGGACCATTGTTGTTACATTCAAGCTTGAACACTCGAAATCCTTTAGTTTGAGGTGGAATGACATAATTGTGACCTAAGAGGGACTGGGGAATTATTGGATCCTTTTCATAAGCAAAACTAGTGTTATGGAGAATCATAAACAGCTTCTTTGTTGTAGGATCTTTTGCTAAGCGAGGGCTTTCCTTTTCGGTAACATATACGACGCCACCCGTAGTGTTAGAGGACAGGGAACGAACTGGCCTTGGATGAAGCATAACCAACCTTTGGGGCGGCCCGCTGTACCTATTACCAGGAGGCCCGGCATTGGCATGGCCTTCAGCGTGTAACATTTGGAGATCGTACACGATCAAAAACTGTGCTGCATCCCGATTTACAGCATATAATTTCCCATCAATTATTTCTATATCCAGAGTAGTGAAGCGTGTACCCTCTAGCATATAATTTCCCATGATTTATCTGTTGGTCTACAAAAGGCCAAATAAAGGCCTTCCCCGAAAAGGCCAGCCACAAGACATGATGAGTTTATTATCTGATGACGATGATGATGATCATCTGATTTTGACCACGACGATGTCGTTAGCAACGGCAATGAAGAGGCTACCACTTTCTTGAAAAAGAAAGGTCTGGTGCCGTACATGTATGGAATGGTGGATTGTGATGGCAGCATGACCCGAACACCTGAAATTGGGTTCAAGAAGAAGTTGAGGGTAGTATAAGGGTACTTGAGATGATAATCTTGCAAGGCGTGCAAGCAGAATGACCACGGACCAAAATTCACTATCAACCATAATCAACCACCCCTCGATGGAACCAACACAATCTCGCCTGCTTATAGCCTGCTTATATAATCGTTAGAGCCAAACGACGACGACTTGTGAGTTTTGTTGTCACTTAGACTCAAGAAGTAATGATCTTTGAGAGAGAACGGGTGTGAACGGAGCATGAGCCAGGGAATCTCAAGTTGAGGAACAGGAGGGCAACGCTTAACAGCTAGGGCAGCTCGCCAAGAACGGCATACTGCGCCACAGCGGAGATAGTCTGGGAGGCATAGCCGTTGCAGAATCAATTGCATGATTTCTTCTGGGAATTCATCAGACCACCTGCTTGTAGTAGTGGTACTGATCACTGCTTGAATTGCTCTTCTTATCCTCATCATCGCCATTGTGATCTGGTGGCGACTAAAATCTTGAGGGAGGGAAAGCAACAACTTTCTCAACAGGCGGTAGTATGTGAATGTGGCCTGAAAAATTGCAAAACCAACTTGTGCCCATTTCAACCTTGTGTTCTTAGAAACTTTTCGAATTAATTTTCTAATCGGCATTTTTCCTGCATGCATATGTAGGAGCGAGCTAGTTTGATGAACAGAATTAGTTACAAAAAGTTTGAAACGACAACATACATAAACATTAAAGCTGCCAAAAAATAAATAAGAAGAGGAAAAGAAGCCTACCGGTCGCTGTTCTTCATATGCTCAAGGGAAGAAGGGTCCTTGGAATAAATTAACAACTTCTAGTGTGTGTGATATATATATATATATATATATATATCACACACACAGGTAAGAAAGGAATTCCTAATTAATTTTGTATCCGGTATCCGGTATCCGATATTTTCTCAAGATTTGGTATAGATCGTGACTTTATTAAACTATAACAGTAGTGGTTAACTATAACATAACTTGCTTTTATTTGGAAAGAAACAAAATTCTTTAAAAAGGCATGAAAAGAAACAATGGGGAATGACCATAAGTCATCAATGGAGGAGAACGAACATGAAAATATAGCATCCCAATCAAAAAAAAGAATTGATAGGAAAAAAAAAATCATATATACTCACCAATAACCAAAGGAGGGAGTGGAGTGCCAATTGATGGTGTAGGAGGATAGCCGATGAAGAAGGTGAGAGGAGACGGTGACTGTAGAAGAGGAGAGGAACGAAAGATAGGAGGGGAGAACCAGTTTTCACATCGGCTGGGTTTCACGTTCGCTAGGGTTTTTATGTTTTCTTTTCTTTTTTCTTTTTCTTTTTTGCCAATTGATAAATGTTAAAAGAAATAAAATAATTGAAATAATTTTAATTGATGTGATTGTCCATCTCAGTTGCCACATAAGTTGATATGGGATGTGGTATACAAAATGTGGTAAGAGTAACATTATTGATAATATATTAATGACATTGTTTTAAGTGTAAGGAGAATGACACATGTCAAGCGAAAAATGGAGAAGGTCCAAAGGAGAATGTTAGATAGAAGGTTAGAGAGAAGATTGCTAGCATTCCCCTTGAAACAAAAGGCCATTTATGATAATTTCGTATCTTTGAGTCGGAAGAGGAAAGAGGAGCAACCTTCCGAAGAGGAAGAGGAAGAAGACGACGACGTGAGTATCGGGTTTGGAACTTACCCTCCAATCCTCACCTACCCTCCCATCCCCATCCATACCCAAAAAACCATTGTTCCAACTGTTTCCTCCCAAAACCCACGTGGCTATTGGTATGCACTGGTGCTGCCTCTGCCTCTTGTTGTCTTCCTCGTTGTGAGTGAGAGGCATTGGGTGTATTTCGGGCTTTGGGTGGTGAGGTTGGCGAACAATTTATAAACATCCCAATTTATTCATAATGGATTTGTTTGCTCCTGCTGCTCTTGGGACGTACTCCAGTTACACTGACTGTGAGAAACCTCGTTAAATCTTTGTCTCTGCTATTCTTCTTGTTCTTGCATTTATTTTCTATATAAACTTGTGGGTTGGTTTGAGGTGTTTCCATAAAGCTTAGGTGCATTTGGCACAACAATAAATTCCTAACTAATTTTGTATCTGGTATCGTCGCTGAGCAATGCAGTAGATGAAGTCTATTTCTTTCAGTTATCATCTCTTATGTTGAAGAAAATAATCATCTTCTTGACAATTAATTATTTCTTTCAGTTCCCTCTCCTTCCTCGTCATCTTCGCCGCATTTGTATGGTGGATGATCGCCAGTCTTGGTTTACCACATGCCACCGTCGCCCCTATTGCCCCCACTGTTCTGACCACCTCCACAGCACCAGCACTACCTGAAGAACCATCCGAATAGGAAGAGGATATTCTTCTTCTTTTTTCAACGAAAGAAGAGGATATTCCAGAGCCTTCCGAAGAGGATGAGTAAGTGGATACTGTCTGGTCTGGATAGAGAACAATGACGGACTTGGCTGGAATTTTGAACTTACCCTCCAATCCTCACTTACCCTTCCATCCCATCGCAAAAAACATTATTACAATTTACAACAACTCTTGCCTCCTCCCAAAACTCACGTAATAATCTTAATGGGTATGCGTATGCCTTGGTCCTCCCTCTGCCTCTTGCAACGTTCATGTTGCAACATTAGCCATCTTCATCTTCATCGTTCTGTATCCAGGCAGTATCCAAATCCTCTTCGCATGGTTGTGGAATATCTTCTTCCTCTTTAGAAGGCTTTGGAATATCCTCTTCCTCTGTTGGGAAAAAAAAAACAAAAAGAATATCCTCTTCCTCTTCAGATGGTTTCCTCGAGTATTGTTGGTACTGCTTAGGTGGCCAGGACGGTGGGGCAGTAAGGGCGGCAGGGGTAGGTGGTAAACCAAGACTAGCGATCATCCACCATACAAATGCGGTGAAGACGATGAGGAATGGGAGGGTGGTTCTTGCTTGTGCGTACATTTTGTTCAAGAATTAATCGTCAAGAAAGATAATTATTTTCTTCAACATAAGAGATGAGAACTTAAAGAAATAGAGAGATTTCAGAGGTTGATTATCAGAAATGGAGAAATGGCATTTGTTTCAATTCGGTGGTGAGACTACTCTGTAAACCCAAGGATGTTACTTATATATATGTGTGCCTCCCTAAGCCGTACGGCTGAGGGTTACCGTTAGGATGTTGCCACGTTGCCTATCTACCATTTCAACTAGTAAGATGAAAAATGGTCCTCCGCTCATCTCGGTTGCCTTTATATGCTTTAACTCGTATGATATTTCCTTAATTAGTAGGTATGTTCATTAAAAAGGAAAAAAAAAAAAAAATGAATTATGGGCGTTGAATTTTGAAATTAAATATTGATAAAAATGAAATTTTAAAGGGTGTGAAGTGATTATGATTATTACTATATGCTTCTCATATTGTTTCTAATTGTCATGGGGGCCATTTCCTTTTTTCCTTTTAATATATATATATATATATATTTCTAGAATATATGCATTTATACGTTACTAAGAACCCAAATAAAAAGAGGGAAAAGCAGCGAAGAGGAGTCCACGTCCTTGTGGGTCTCAATTTCCATGCAAACGTGGGGGTTTCTGATATGGATCCGGATCCCTTAATATAACATTGGAACAGGTGAAACTCTACTTTTAGGATTTGGAGTTTTTCATTAGAATTGAAAGTAATAGCCTTTGCGTTAGATTTTAATTCTTTTATATTAAAGTTTGAATTGATATCATTTATTTATCTTCAATGATAAATTTTTAGTTAACTTCAAAATGTTAATTTTTAATTATCTAGCATGCAAGTGAAAATAAAATAAAATTGTGATACAATATGAAGGGGACTAATTCTTTACTTTAGCCCTGGCCCTCAAAAACTCAAGACTGACGAAAAAATAACTTGGCAAAAACTTACGCAAGTTGGCAATAAATATAAATGATTGTATTGAAAATGCTCCAATAGGTTCAAACATTACCAGATATTACAGACATCAGCAGTCTATAACGAAATCAAACAAGAAAATTTCCTTGGCCACACTACCAAGTCTCGCTCCGAAACAGCAACTCAATAACAAAACCATACAAGGTAATTTTCTCAGGCATCTTAACCTTCCTTTGATTTTTGAGATTCTTTAAGTTTTCTCTTCCGTTCCCTGATGACATCAATATGGTCCTTCTTTCGTTTTATCCCTTTCTGTATGAAAGAAAAATCCAGGACAAAATATTATTGCATTTGATATATAGTACATGTAATTTCTTAAGTTTTTTATAAGATCCATGAAAATAGCATGACGGCATCAACAAATTTACCTCCGCGGCTTCAAGTTTACCCCTCCGCTTACCGGACAAAACCAATTTAGCCAATTCACTATCATCATCAAATTCTTCCTTATCCTCGGTCTCCTTGCCAGAGATATGATTATCTATATTCGAGACAGATGATGAATGTGGGACGCCATGAAGCTCCTTATTCAATTCATCATGATACTGCCTCTCAAGAGCCATCATCTGTACAGCATCAGAATTTAGTTAGCATCAAGCAAGTAGTTTTGATGTCTCTATGCACATGATGAAATTAAATGGCAGAAAAATATCACACATCTAAGCATCATGCTACATTCTCTTGTTTACCTTCTTCTTTTTCTCAACAGCTTCTTTTGCTTTTGCTCGGTCAATTACACCTTCAGCCAGTAAATTCTGAGGATCTTCCAAATCTTCTTTTCCCACACCTGGTAGGGGGAGGACTTCACTTCTGCCAGCAGTCTTCCATTGGTTAATGGTCTCAGCATAGTCAGGTACGTAACCTTCTGCCTCATTGTCAACAAATGGTGACAAGTGTGGGGGAGGATCCCTGTTCAAAGAGCAACCAAATTAACAACATTACCAGTCATAAACTTCTAGTATCAAATAGAGCAATGATAAACACAGGTAAGGAGTAAATCAAGGTCTATCAGTTCATGTAACCTATTAACCAGAAGCTGAGGAACGTAGCCAATGAGACTTATTAGTTAATTCATCGTGTCTCATAATATTACCTTCCCGCCAAATAACCCCCAGTTGGTAAAATGATCCGAGCATTTATACAATCATAAACCCATTGTGGTTGAACATATTCCCTGGCAAGGATCTGACGACCATGCATTGGCCTGTCAACAATCTACAAAATAAACAAGCACTCTTGTCAGCCCTGTAATACAGATCAATGCTTTTCTTTTGTGGGAGGTGGGGTACCAAAGATCAGTCGACGACTCCGCCATATAGAAGTAACAGCATACCTGGTGGGTAATGCTCTCATCATTTTCCTCAAATGGAGCCCCATCACCTTCCCAAGAAACAGTGCCACCAAAAGCAGGAATAACAAAAAGCAACGACTCTCTGTAAACCTGAACATAGAAAAAAAAAATTACAAGAAACATAAGCACAATTTCTATTGCCAATCAACTAAAAGAAACCAAATTACAAAAGATTTTCATATTAATCATGATGGAGTTGCACTTTGATTATTATTAGAAAAATTAATTGCGTTATTATATTCTTTTATATTAAAACACCTTTAAGGCCTCACCCATCAGACCTATTTATTGGTAGGAAATTAATTTTTTGTCAATAAGATCTCTTCTAAGTTCCAATTTAAAACTTCTAAGACTCACCTCACGGTTCAAGAAAAATTTCATATCCTTGAAGAGTTTCTTACACTCTCTTGTATCATCATCCTCTTCTTCCTCGCCAGCAACATCTTTAACAAGGTGCATTAATGCACCAGGTTCATTAGAAGGGAGTTGATGCTGAAGTTGGGCAAGCCTTAATTCAGACTCACTAACTGAATCCCCAATCTGCTGGCTCTCAACATTCCCTGATCCAGACAAACTTGAAGCTTGAGGATCCAACACAGCGGACTGAGAGTTGGCATCAAAGTATCTTGATAGTGCATAAAGATCTGCAAAGTTGAGAAAACTAAATCATACTGATGCTCCATTAACAGATATACACAAGCATACAATCCAACTCAACAATGCTAAAATCTCCAAAACACAAGCTAAGATGCAGCTTATCTCAAGAAAGTAGTAAAATTGCATACCAGCTGCTAAAGCTTCTAATCGAGGATCAAGAATGGGTGGATACTTCACATTTATGGAACGATATAAATGACAATTCACAAATGCAAGAAGAGCCTGCACCAAAGGTGGAGAAAAACTTTATTTCATGTAATTGGTTCATTGGAAGAATAAGAAAAGTAAATATATTCAACTATCAAAACATCTTTTACAGTACATGCATTGATAAGGAATAAACTGAAATTCAATGTAAAATATATAACCTCATAAAATTCCAAAAAGTTTAGCATGATGTTGAAGTCAATATCCTCAGTCAAAACTTGCTGCAAGGGGTGAGGGGTCAACCATGTGACTTTTTGCCCCTTAACCTCGGCCTGCATGGACAAACAATGCAAACATATAACACAAAATGCACAGTATAAAGATTAAAATAAGCAGTGTACAGTATGTAACCACACCTGATAATATATGCCCTTGACAGATACAAAGACTTTGCGCAATTTATGAGTCCGAGATATATAAGCTTGCCATTCATGACTCAGCCTAGCAATAAAGAAACACAAAGATCACGAAATGATTAACACTTGGAACTATCCAAACATCATTTCACAGTTCAAAACGCCATTCTTCTTTTCATTTTTGGCATAATTCAGGTATCTACCTTCGACAGTTATGTATGCGTTTCACTTCAATTCTTTCCTCTATAGCAGGTAATGCTGCAAAGAGGTGAACCATGGTGAGACAGTCATCCAAATCTCTAAGTGCATCAATGAAATTTGGATACCTGCAAAATCAAACATACCAAAAAACAATTGTCAGAAGCTCAGCATACCATCAGAGACATGCAACTAACTTTTTGGCAACAAGAAAAAGTTAGCAAACCTCTGCAAAATAATTTTATCTAATCTGTAAGTGGGTCTCCTTTGTCTGAGAAGATTTGCACGATCCCGGTTCTTCTTCGCATCTGCTTTCTTTACTTTTCTTTCATATGCCCTGATCTCTCTCAAACGCTCAAGCAATGGTTCGTGTTGAATGAATGAAACATCCTTCAAGTGATAATAGGTATGGTGATTTCCTTTCACCTTTTTCTTCGGCTCCCGAGGAAAAACACCCTTTAAAATACACAGTTTCCTAAAATTTCCACAAGAACAATAAAAAAATCAATACATAACAAAACTCCTTTTTCTTTCCGAATGAAATAGTCTAAGATAATTCAACCAGCAGCTGGTTAACATTATAATAAAGCTCGAACTAACCAGAATACATAAACCCTAACAAATATGTAAACAGAAGTTGTATAAATATGTACACACAAGTTATATAAAATCATGTGAAAATATAGAAATTGCAACTTTAATGTGTACCTGAAGAGGGGTAGACTGACTTGAAGTTGCTTGACCGCTTGTGACCTAGTGATGTACCTCGCTGCATTTCCTTCCTTTTTCTTTCCCTGCAAATACGAAATAAAAATAAGGAAAAGTGTTAGAAAATGTTTAAATTATATACTGCAAAGTTTGATTTGAATATTGATACAGCTTAATTTATCCAATACGGGAAGGTGAAATAGAACTCACAGGAGGCCTGTAATGCTTATGCTTAACCATGGCTGCGGTGATGCTGAGACTGACACAGGGAGAAAGAAGCGCGAGGAGGCTGAAGAAGATGTAATGTTATGTATAAGTTTAGGTTAAGGGACTTAAGAGTGAAACCGGACGTTGGTCAGATGGTTCGGGTGCGGGTTTGTGTGCCGTACATGGGCTTGAGCCCAATTATGTAAGAAATGTCTGGTTTGGGCCAGGCCCAAAACTAATAAGAACGTACTACGGAACAGACGGTCCAATTTGAGAGGGTGGTGGAGTGTACACAGAAAATGTCGTTTGTAACCTTATGCTTTGTTTATAGGGGGAGTTTGTGTATATAAAATTATAAATGGTACAATGTGAATTATGGATAGATAGAGAGCTAGGTTTTTTCTTTTTCCAACAAGCAAGCATGTCCCACTGCCCAATAATTAATTGGGTTTGATATTTTCTTCATCTTTTTTCCAATTTATCAGTTGTACATTTCAGTATGAAAAATATAAAAATGATGTTAATTGCCAAATAAACGTGAAACAATGCAGGGACGGAGCTATAATTGTAAAATTAGGGGGGCCGAAATAGAAAACACAAGTATATATTATTTTTAAAGGGGCCATTAATTTAAATTACAAGTTGTCTATTAGTAAGTTTTATATATTACATTATATAATATAGAATAAATATCAACAAAATGGGGGGGCAAGGCCACTCTTGGCCTAGGAGTAGCTCCGCCACTAAAACAATGCATAACACATTAAGGAAAAATTTAATTTTATGAATCCTAAACTCATTCTTGACATAGGGGTTTAACAAACTAACCTAATTTTTACATTATCGTTCCTCTAATTCAATGGTTGGAATGGAATATTGAGAATGTTTCCATCAAAAAACTTGAAGTTTACTTATTGGAGGTAGAATTTGTATGTATGGTTGTTATTATTTACACACTTATAACATTTTCATAAAAGCATACCATTAAATTGCAAGCCAAAAATATAAAGGTACAATTGTTACAGTTGAAAAGTTTAACCTAAGTTAACCTAAGTTAACCTAAGTTTAACCTAAGTGAAAATTTATGGTTTACAATTTCTCCACCTTAAAAGTTAGATAAATCGAATAATTCTCAATCTACAATTGACCCATGAATTACCACTACTACCACACAAAGTTAAAACTAGATAATATGTATCATAAAATCTGCTTTTTGCGTTTGTAAACACTTTATTTTGTAAACTTTGGGTATCCATACAAATCTCAAATGTGAAGTAATTTGGACTTACTCGTGGTAACTTGGTAAGCCAACATTAGTAATTTAGTATTAGCATCCTAGCGTGTGTCAACACAATACCTATTTTCTTTGTCCTCGTATAATATTGATATATTAAAAAGGAGAGAATTGTCCCGTTAAAAAAGAAGTCTCCATATACTTAGGGCCAGTTTGGTATTGTTATGCTGTAAAAATAATTGCTGTGAGAGAAAGCAGTTTGGCGTTTGGTAAATTTTTTGTTAAGATTGTTGTTGGTACTAATTCATGCATAATCAAAAAAATGATTCCCACATAATCATTAAACTCAGTGCTTCTTCAAAATTGATTCATACATAATCAGAAAATGAAAGCACCTCATTAGCTGCTTTCCCTTATAGTTTTCTCTCACAACAATTTTTAATAATAAGTGATTTTTTCATAGTTTATTAAACGGGCTGTTTTTTCCAATTTTTTTTTAAAATCACTTATTACCCCAAATAAGCAATGTCAAACGAGCACTTAGACTGAAAAGCAAACAAAAAATGTATACATTATGTTTACTGATATATTGATGTGTGCTTATAACCTCATTATGGTTAGTTAAGACCCATGTGATAATTCAAAAACATCAATTTTGAAGGTATTATAAGAACATCTCCAAAAGAGATTTCAAATGCAAAATGTGAATTTTGAAATTGATGGTTTATGTGGCAATTTGACAGTTTGAAAAAAATGTAACTCCACCAAAAATGCAAAATATCATATTATTTTATTATATTAAAAAAAAACAAATAGAGCTCATATGATGCATAAAGTTTTAAAAGAAAGTGAATGATAGTGGGTTTATGACTAAAAAAATATTTGACATTCAAGCTTTTTCATATGTTATTTTTTACATATATCTTACAGCCTTCAAATCTATAAAGGATTTGACTACTCGGTTGAAGCAATTTTAACTTTCAATTTTTGTCATTTCATGTCCATGTGACAATTTAACATATCAGTTGAAGATGCAAATTTACATAAGTTAACCAAATGTAGTCTTTTTGGTAATAAAAAGAAAAAACTAATTGTAGTATTTTTTTGTTCCAAGATGTAATTAGCAGTAATTATGCCAAAAAGTAGTAATTAGCACTAAACCCTAATCCAACCGAAAAGAAAAAGAATTTTTTTTTAAAAAACATAAAGGTTGGGGAGGGAGATTAAAAAAAGGGGCAAACATCGGAACCCTCTTCGCGCCATCTGGTGTCCGCCAAACTTTCAGGAATTAAACATCAAATTCAATTTCCCGCCAAACTTCACTCGCGCCATTGCCCGAAAAACAAATAAAGAAAATGAAAAAAAAAGAGAGAAGCCCTTATTCTTGATTTATTTTGTTTCCTCCCAGTTGCCAGTTCCCTCTTTGGCAGCTCTGTGCTCTGCTACGTTCAACGTTCGGCAAAAAAATTCCGATGGAGATCTCAAAGCCCCAATCGTTCTTCCAAGACATCAGATCCAGAGAGCTACATGGATTCAGAGGTTCGCTCTATAAATTTACAGTTCATAATCTCTTTTTTGCGGTCTGATATAATCAATCTGTTTGGGTATCTTATGATTATCATATGCTGTGTTTTTCCAGCTCCAAAGCGACCGTACATCAATGGCCTGGCATCAGATTTCTATGAAATTGGGGCCATTGCTGCTGAACACAACGGCCCTCCAATGGCGATTTCGTTTGGCAAGGTACACAATCTGCTGATGGAGCCTTTCCGATTCGTGAATCGCATTTTTCTTTATTTTTCTTTTTATTTTTCTTTTTGTGCAGACGTGTAAAAACTCTGACATTGTCGCAATGTCAGACGAAGATGGGTACCTGAGCTTGTTCGATACACGTCGCAAGTTCTCTGCATCAGCATCTTTCCAAGAAAATGCAGGTTGGTTACTTGGAAATCAAATCAGTCACCACCATAGATCGTTGATTGCTATTTTTTTGATGTATTTTAAGTAAATAAATCTTTGGGTTATTGGTCTTCAGATAAAACTAAGGTGTGTGATTGGGTTGCACATCAAAATGCTGTGTTTGACGTCTGTTGGATTAAGGTATTAACGACATCTTTTCCCTCTCTTGTTTAATGTGGAATTATTAGTCCAGTATTCTTCAAGTGTAAAAATTTTCAATTCTGCTATACACAAAAGTTATTTGAGTGATCAGATGGGGAAGGAAAAATTACTGTGGAGTAGAATTTATATGTATTCCCTATTACAAGCCGAACAGGGCACTTTCAATGCACAATTAAAAATTGGGAACTTATCTCGCTGCTAATCTGGAACTAATCAAAAGAGCAACTGTTTTTAAAGTACTTTCGGTTTTGATCAAGTAAAAAGGGTTAAACGATGGGGTCCTGTGTTTATGCCATTGACATTGTTATGAAAGCATAGCAGATAAGTGGGAGAATCAAATTGAAGATTGTTGTATGTTTTTGCATCAAATTTAAGTTTTTCATATTTTTTTAGTGCTAATGTGTTTTTGCAATACATGTGGTTTTGCAGGATGATACTCAAATTATGACAGCTTCTGGTGATCAAACTGTAAGTTATTAAGTTCTAGTCCTGCCTGGATACTGTATAGGTTTTGTGATCATAGCAATGTTTTCATCTTCCTTAGAGCATTTTAGAAAATTGGATTGAATTTATTAGGAATAAGCTCTTACTACAATGTGCTATAACTTTTAAGTAACAGATAACTCTGTAAATAAAGCTATGAAATTTGGTATAAGGAAGGTTATATTTACATAATTGTCCTTCATATCACAGCTAGTTCAGTTCCTTATTCATTGTGTTTTCCTTGGCCTTTTTCTCTTCCTCCAGATCAAGGTATGGGATATTCAGGAAAAGAAATGTACTGCAATACTGATGGGGCACACAGGAAGTGTGAAATCTCTCTGTCCTCATCCAACTAATCCTGGTAGGTTTAGATTTTCATCTGTTGTGGGTTTTTGTACTCATTTTCTCTTATGCTATATTTGTGAAATAACTAATGAGAAATACAACTAATTTAAACCACTGATTCTTCTTATCTGACAGAGATTATTGTCTCTGGTTCGAGAGATGGCTCCTTTGCTCTTTGGGATATGAGATGTAATTCAAGCTCCAAAAATATTCACGGGGAGATTGCAATATGGTAGATTATTTAATGTAAAGCTATTTTCATTTTCAAGAATCGGGATAAGTTTGTTTTCTGTTTTCCAAAATAAATTTATAATATTTTCATGCAGCTCAACTGCTGTGGTTAAAGGGGCTCATCTTTTTCCACGGGCAAAGCGTGTAAGGCGCGGAAAGGTTTGTTTCTGATAATAGGTCTTATTAAATTTGTTACGTACTCTTTACTCAGATTTAGCTTTTTCAGGCTGCTTCCATGAGCATCACATCAGTTCTTTATCTTAAAGACGAGGTTTCCATTGCTACTGCTGGAGCTGTGGACAGGTATATACGGAACAGTGGCAGTGAAATGGCCGAATTGAATCCTAAATTTCTTACTCAGGCGTTATGTCATACCAAGTGATATGAGGTTATTGTTTGATTTGATCTTATGCTTCATTTCAGCATTGTCAAGTTTTGGGATACTAGAAGTTTGAAAAATGTCGTCACACAGACATTCCCTCAGCTAGAGTCTACTGAGAAGGTTAGTCTGGAAGTCTATGATATGGTGCTAATTTGTCACAGGTTAAGCGTCGCATCTACATTAACCTATGAAGATTATATTGAGCTATAAAGATGACCTGAGCCTTGATGTCCACCTTGATGATATGGGGTGGACAGCAATAGCTGGAGATCTAGTCATATTGGGTGTGCGTCTATGTTTTTTTTTTCCTTTGTGGTAAAGTAGCATATTGATGATGTCTTGACAGCTAGCAATCCTCTTCATTTCAGGAAAGAAGATTACATGGTATAACTAGCTTATCCCAAGATTTAAACGGAGTGTTTATTTCAGCCTCATGTATGGACAACAGGTATTGTTTACTCTGATTTGCATATTTTATGTTGTAAACTGAATTGGCTACTCGAAGGAACATTACCTGGAAATTGCAGCCTTGGATTTCAGCAGATAACCCTGTACCATGCAACCTTCAGATTAGTAGTTCCTAGCTTAATAACCCAGTATTGTTGTGGAGTCTTAGACAGTTACCATGCACTAAATATATGATACACTAATACCGTAAAGACTATCAAACATTCAACTGATCACACTTTATTTTTCCTATGTTTTCTTTCAGAATATATTTGTATAATGTACTTCAGCTACAAAAGGGTCCTATGCAATCTTTCAGTGGATGTAAGATTGAATCTTTTTTTGTAAAGGTAAGCTTTGCTGTTTAAAAGTGCACTAACTCAGTTTGTCATCCCAACTGATTTCCTGCCGATTTACAAATCTTGGTTTCAATTATGTAATTGCAGTCAGTTCTTAGCCCTGATGCTGCTCACATGCTCAGTGGTTCCAGCGATGGAAATGCCTATATTTGGCAGGTAAGATTTGTTCTTTCGGGAGCTATTGATATTGGTCTTGATTAGATACTGACCTTGTTGGCAATCTCAACCCAGGTAAACAAGCCTCAAGAAGATCCTGTAATATTGAAAAGCCATGACGGAGAAGTTACAGCAGTGGATTGGTAATTTTTTTTCTTCTAACCTAATGCTGCCGATTTTAAATATTTCATGACAAATGATTAAACAGTTTCCAAATTTTAATAGGTCCCATTTTGAGGTTGGGAAGATGGCAACTTCTTCGGATGATTTTACAGTTCGCATTTGGAACTCTCAGAATAGTTACGGCCCAAGCACAAACTCACCATCTGTCATCCGGAGGAGAGTCATGGCAATCCCAGGTGCAGAATGTAGAAAGCTTCTAATGAATGAATCAATTCATACGTCAAAGGACTCTGGAAATTTGTGTCCGTCAGACGACGGATTGGATGAATCTAGTTCAAGAAAACCAATTAAAATGCCGAAAATCAGTACTCCCCAATTTCAGAAGAACCAATCTATGGCAGATTCTGACTTTATTGAAACCTTTGAAAAGACCCCAGATGCTGCGTTGAAGAGCCCTTCTTCTGTTCTGAACCCTCCTTCCTCTCTAAAAAGGAAAACAATCCGAGATTACTTTGGAGTGCCTACTTTAAACTTGTAGCCTGTCTTTTTCTTTTTGTTGGGTTTACTGTACAAAGTGCCGATAGTGCCTCTGAGCCTACCGTTTCAGAAGTGGGTGCATTCAACCCCCTTTTCAGAATGTTTCATAGTAAGTATTCTCAAATTTTTCTCATACCCTTTGTTTCCTTGACATGGCATTCTTAGTTGCAGGGTTGATTTTGTTTGTTTGATTTGATGCAGGTTTATATTTGGAATGTAAAGCCGCATGCAAAAGGATTTTACGCGATGGAAATATAACATCTCATTTTTGTCCACCCCGCCTAAGAAAAAGAAGGGAATATATTACATTGCTTTATTGATGTTATGTGACATGTGTTATCTGTTTTGTGTACATACCAAGCAATTTGGTCCTATGTGGGAATTTTTTATTTTTTGGGTCAAAATGCGGGAATTTTTTCATGTGAGGTAAGAAAGACTGCCCAGAAATTATTGAATTAAAATGGCTGAGGGCCATTATTTAAAAAGATCTGTTTGAGAGTGATTTACTGGAAGGTACATGCAATTGTGGCCTAGGGCTTGTGATTTGGTTTGTTCGGTACGGTGTGGCTATCACACTACTCATGTAGAACGTAAACTCATGAGCAACTAGTATGATTCCAAATCCATCGGGAAAGATTTATAATTTAAAAAAAATGGTTCTCTTCTTGGCGTGCATTTGAAAACTATAAATTTTATGGACATTTGATTACAAAGATGGTAATGATGCATCGCAAATTTGCCCATGAAAACTTTTGGCTGTACATTTGTTTTACGTTTGACATCACATACTAACACATTCTTATTCCGGCAGTGAAATAGGATTCTCCACTTTTTACTGCATAATGTAAAGTTCTTGTTTAGATATGGAGTAGCACCCTATTTTATTGCTTGGCTCCATGATGAACTGCTCCTGGAATGTACCCATTCGCTTACTCGAAATATCAATGGAAAGATCTTTAATGCTTGGCAAGCCCTCTACCTGTACACCGTCTCCACATATAAGGAACTGATTCCCGACAATGAATGATCCGGATACCCTAATTGCTACACCATCCTGACCATAAGCACGGCACTGAAGCTTTTCCACAACATGCACAAGTCTTTCAGGAGGCCAGTCACCAGCTAATGTTCTTCGTATACTTGACAGACTTGCAAAGATATCATTTGGACCAACTAGTTGCTTTCCTGAGAAACTAAAAAGGATAAAAGTTTATATTAGAAACATGAAGCTGCTGGTTGACGTTGACCGGTAAGGGCTGGTGTTTTAAATTTCTGTACCTGAAAACTGAATCTTCACTGTATAAGGTCCTTGTATGTTGCCAGAGCTCATCAGGTCCATCAAAAAGTAGGTAAAAATGTATTGTAAGCATCTGGTCAGAAAAAAAATAAGTGAGATCAAAATCAGTAGATCACAAGCATGATGTAAGTTCCAAGCCATTATAAATAAATCGTACACTGTGGACTCTGCATATAAATTGAATACCGTGAACTTTATATTAGTAACTGAGACCAAAGTATATTGGACAAACTGTTGATATTATATTCAGACTTGACAATTTATGTGGTTTGTTAGCACACCTTTTGACGGTAAGAAGATAATGCAAGTGTTTAGTACTCACATCTGCCAAGTCCTTCATCCTTTGTGTTGGATCAAATACGCTTCGGACAAACACTGCTAAGTCCACTTGGGAATCCTCATACTTTGTAATGAAGGGGTGTGAAAGTAGCTGCACTAGAAGAATACTAGTTAAACAATGTTGATGTCAAACTATTATGTTCCAGATTGTATACAGCGGCTTTAATCACCTGCTCTGCCGTTGGCCTAGCATCTGCATCCTTTTGCAAACAGGCTTCAATAAACGAGCAAAACTCTGGTGAAAATTTGTGTTTTGGAGGCGTAGGTGATGGATCATCCAAGATCTACCATAAAACCTAAAATGTTTAGTTGCAAAACAAAGGCTGGCAATGGCATGTAGGCACTGGAAAGCATATGAATGCAGTAATTATGTATGTCCAACAGTTCGAGTATCTTTTTTTTCAGAACCTCTCCTCAGTTGCGCTTGAGAACATATCCTACAAACCTTAGAAGAATAAAATGCAAGGCAACATCAATTAAGGGACAGGTATAGGCATGTTACCTGCAACATAAGATTGACAGGTCCTTCATTAGCTGTATATGGGAATTCTCCGGTACCACACTCAAAGAGAGCAAGACCAAGGCTCCAAATATCAGCTGGATAAGAATAATTCTCATTTCGAATTCTCTCAGGTGACATGTATGTAACTGTCCCAACGAATGTCGCACACTGGTAATCGCATTGTGAGACTTGTTAAAACCAAAATACCAAACTTAACTCTATGCCCCAAATGTAACACAGAAGTACACCACCACTAGTGCAAATGAATGAACTAAAGAAAGTAGTGATTGATCATGATAATAAAACAAAAGCACAAAGATGCAGCGAGTATCACCAACCATTGCCATTGAATTCTCTAAGCCAGCACTTATACCAAAATCTGTTATTTTTGGCTCGCCCTTGAGATTTACAAGCAAATTGGCAGGCTTTATGTCTCGGTGGACTAGATGCCTAACTCCATGCAAGTAGCTCAGCCCCTTCCATAGTGAAAACATTAAGAAAAAAAAGAAGCTTAAATAACATCACTATAAGCCATATTCTGATCAAATCAAGCTGAAACTGAGTGTGGATATGCTCACATGCAGAAGCTTTTGAAACATAGAAGAAAGTAGAGGTTCTGGTATTCTTTTCCGCAATCTTAAGATATCCGCCAATGATCCTCCATCCATATACTCCAAAGCAATGCTTATTTGACCAGAATCCGGCGTATAAAATGCACCATGAAATTCTACAAGACCTTGGTAGCAAGGTGCTTCACATAGCGTCCGTATCTCAGTAAGCAGCTGTTGCCTTTTCTCCTATTATGTAATTAATATAAAGTCTGCTTCAATTTTCACACTCAAAATTCGCTAGTCTTTTTTTGCCCCATTTGCATTTGGGTCAATAGAAACTAGCATAAAGGTACCAAATTTTGAATTTAGGGACTGGTCACCACTCACCCACATGCAGATAGATGCAGGGAAAATCAAACTACCCATTTTTACTTGTGAAGAACCAAACATAATGATAATTTATCTGAAAAAGTATACCTTTTCGAAAATATTGATCTTCTTGAGCGCTAAAATCCGATGAGTGGGAATGTGGATAGCTCTCTGTACAACGCTGCTGGCGCCACTGCCAATTGCCCCAAATATCCTCATCTCATGCGAACCACACCGGTACGTCTTTTCGCTGCTGTCGTCCACCGCCAAGGTCGTGCATTTCTGTAATCCGAGCTCATTGATGTTGTACACACCGTACGATCTGCTCAGCAAGTTGACCGTTCCACTGTCCGATAGCTTCAGCGAAACCAAGAATCAATTCCATTTCCAGGAGAGAAATTCAAAATTCAAAATCCAATTACGCAGATTGCTGCAAAAGCAAAAAGAAACTTACCGTGTAAGAATCGCAAGGGTCCAAGTCCAAGGTTGAGCCCGTGGAGAAGCCCTTTTCGGCATCGAACAAAGGCGTGAGCTTTTTTCTTAATTCCTCTAAGCCAGCCATTTGGGGATGCTTAATTGCTCAAAGTTTGCTTCAATATTTTTTTTATTTTTTTATTTTAGCTCAGGTTGTTGTTCATCTTCTTGCTTCAAATCTGAGGCAACCTTCCACTTGAGTTTGACGCTGTTAGGTTCCTGCAGTGCTCACAGTTAACAATTAAAAAATGTAGTCATTTTAATTTTTTGTTCCAAAAATAAATAAATTTATTTACTCTTTTAAAAGAAAAAAAAAATCATTTATGAACACTAGTCTTTCTGCATGCGCTTCCACGCCTGTGAGAGGTTTTTTTTTAAATTTTTTTAAATTTATTTTAGAATTAAAAAATATAATGGATAGTTGAGTTCTATAAAAATAGAATTCATTATTTTATTTTTCTTTTAATTTTAATTTTTTAAAATATGAAAAAATGTGAGTTTATCATATTATCCATCATTTAATTAATAATTTTAATTCTTAATATTTGCATTAACTAATAATTTTTTATGATATTTTGAATGTTTTATAATTTTCTGTCTTTTACTTTATATATATAGATATATATACAATACAAAATCAATAATGAATTTTAAGATGGCTCTACTTTATTCTAACAACTTTGGAAGAAAAATAATAAAGATATCTGTTTTAAATCATTCTTCCTCATTTAATTATCTTTCCATAATAAAAGAACATTGAGGAATTGTAAACTGCAGTTAGCCGTGGTTGGCCAACGAATGTCCTTTTTCAGACTTGTACGTCTGAATATTTATTAGATATCACGAGAATATTACAATCGAGTATCACAATTATCTTCACTTTGTTTAAAAATAACAAAAAATTAATTAAATAAAAAACCTTCCTCATCTTAACTATAAAATTCAAGCTGCATATGGGAGAAAATATATTTTTCTGCAACAAGCAAGCAGCCAAGAGTAGTCTATGTATACATTATATAGCAGAGCCACTTGTTAAACATTTACATGCATCTGCAACTCACAACAACAACAAAAATTTGGGCAAGAGAAAATTTTGCCGGAAGGTTTGATCTTGAGGATAGATTGCCAGGAAATGTCTATCCCGACCAAACCATCGTCGGGAAATGTCTATTCCAACGAAAGAATTCACCTCACAAGGTCTATACTGACGAAATTCTCTTGGAAATGTCTAATAATAAAACTAAGCTTAGAGTTTGTCGTTGTTCATAATTCTTATATGCACTAGATGCGTGGGTCACCTGAAAGGACATAATTAAAACATAGCCTAATTTGAATTAAGTTCATAATTAAACTTGAAAATTAAATTACGTGTAAAGAACTTTATACACGGATCATCATGAAAGTGGAGTATGCAGAAGTTGAAGGGAAGAAGCAGAATTATCAAATTAGATATGTTCAAAATGCATTATATTCTAGTACGAGCGTGCATGTGAACAAGTCTGAAGATAAAGGGCATGTCCTCCATCAACCAAATAATTGACTCTCTAATCATTAGGACTACAATCGTTGAAGTACCTAAACCTAATCTATGATCATCATGTTCCAAAAGATAATCTAGTATTTTTAATTCCTCTTTTATTTCGCAATATCCAACCAACCCACAACGCGTAAAGAGAATTATATATATTCTCTCAGGCATGCCGCAAAGAAAGCTCCTCTTGGTGGATGGAATCAATGGGGACATTATGGTTTATGGGTTGATTATAAGCCACCAGGGCCATGTATGTAGCTCGACATCCACTAGCTTGAGATAGTTTTAGTACGGCATAAAATAGTAATAAAATAAGAAAAAGGGTGGGTGGTCATTGGCTAATTTATATATTATTACTTTCTTTAACCATCAATTATTATCGGACAATATTTTTCTCATAACTTTAACCTAATGTGTATTCTCTCAATCTTTCTTAATACTTGACACGTGTTTATAGGCACAATCATAGTTAACTTTTTACTTTGTATTTATGGAATCATGGTTATACATATGCACACGTTTCAAATATTGAGAATGATGATGAGAATACACCATGAGTGAAAATGATGATGAACAAAAATACTCTCATTATTGTGGATGGATGCATTGCAAAATTAATTTGGCACACCAAGCTTTCCTTCAAAGGCGACAAGAGATTAATAATGCAAATGCAATATATACAAATATGGCATATGATTGACACACTTTTTAAATTCATTTATCTTAATAAAGAAAAGAATCTAAAGAGAAGGGTTATCATGATCAGTTCATGATTACTAGTATTTATTAGGTACTAATAATTATATAACTTATTATGGGAGTTTTGATTATATATCAAAAAATCGACATGTTTTTCTTGTAATTATAATTAAGAGAATAACTATATATATATATATATTCTGTGTTGATCAACAAAAGGGAAAGCAATGAATATGTACATACAATGCATAGCGGGTATTATTTTTCTTAACTAGTTTTTGGTGAGTGGTGACTCTCTACTGTTGGAGGGCCCACCAACCAAACTTGCAAGGGAGAGAGAGTAGGGGCCAAACATCTCATTGATTCTTCAATATATAAGTAGGGTTATCTTATTCACCTTTTAGGCCTTTCGGCAAGATATCAAAGTTAGATTATAGCTAGCTAGCTAGCTAGGGCACTTTTTAGTATAGTTGCAAGAATGCCATGCCACTTTAATGTTGGTTATGAACGAACTTGGATCTTAGCTATATTCGTTTTATGAATATAATGGCATTTTAAGTGAAATTATTAAAAATACGATAGCGGAAGATAAATTGACCAGTTTTGTATAGTTACTCGCATTACTCGATACAATGTCTTAGATTTGGATTATACCTAGAGTCAAATGTATATGCATCATTGCTTGCTGCCATACGCATCCATCGACGTTATGGCCTTTGTCAACTAGCGAGCAGGAAATTAAAACTGAGAGTACGTTTCTAATTCAAATGAGATGACAGACCCGACAACATTTAATTTTTTTGTTTTGATCCTTATTGTTTCAGGCCATTGTCAGCACATATTGAAAAACTTACGCATATGCATGACTGAATTCAATAATACAAGTAAACAGTACTAGTAACAGTACTAAGTGCTTTTACATATCGATAGCTATTTCCTGTCGCATTTACTTTTACACGAATTTTTGAACCCCTTAAGCACTGAAGCATTCGATGATGACCTACAGTACAGCACAGCACAGAGACAATCAATCGTCTCTCATTCTATGCAATATTCCATTAGATTAGGGGAAGATAAACATATACTAGTAAACATCTGTCTCTGAATTATGTTTAAATATATACTAATTTTGGTGCATGAACATCAATATAGTGATCTAATTAAAGTACTTTCTGATGATCTTCAACAAGAAAGCACACTAGCGATGTATGAAATGCGCATTTCCGGTTTCGATAACAAACTTAAACTCTAACATACATTATTAATCAAGGGTTCCATATAATCATTTTGTAATTAAAAATGTTTAATATTATTAGATCGGTTTAGTATAAAGGAGAAAACATGGTATTAGCTTAGACATTTGCAGCATTTGATAGGACATGGGAACAAGCTAAGCAGTGATTAATCTGGCAATTGTTGCTGAATAGTGATTGATATTATTATAAAGGCAGAGTCATACTCATCCTTTTTTTTCCTTGGTAGCCCATATGATTTATTACGCTTGTCTTTTTGCTTTCCATTTCTTCTCCCCCCCCACTGAAAATGCTCTTTGCCTCCTTCTCACTTCTCACTTCTCACTCATCATCAATTCCTTTATAAACTTTTTTGTCACTGTGGTTGCAGTGAAGCTCTCTCTCTCCCTTTTTCCTGTCCCTGCAAGAACTATATATAGCTAGCTAGGGTTTAGATCTTCTTTGAACTTTCACATCTCCAGCAGTAAAAGCCCTGCAACTTCATGGTACAATCACAGAAGAGATCTTGAAAGAGTTTTTCACACAACGGAGAAAAAGGTAATTGATTAAATATTAATCTATTCTTTTTGCATCTGATGATCAGAAAACCGAAATCAGAGAGAGAAGCAGGGTAAGTAAGCAGACCTCTTTGTTATTTCTATAATTGATTGTATTTGAATGCCTAATTTTTGCGGTGGGAAGCCGTTGCGCTTGACTTTAATTAGGTTGAAGGGTTTGATCCAGGACATTGGGTTGTGGAATTAGAAAATGAACTGCACCCCACAGTAATAAAATGGATATATATATAATTGCATCGATCAGCGGGCTCTGCACTTGATTCATATACATATAAGAAAGGAGTTAACTATTTGCAGTAAGTCCAGGTTCAGATTAATTTGTGTGTGTGTGTGTGTGTGAGAGAGAGAGAGAGAGAGAGAGAGAGAGCAAAGAAATTAGGGAGGAAGTACTGTTACTTTTTTTTTTCTTTTTCTTTTTTGGGAACAAATTCAAGAGACTATATATAAAACCAGGAAATTCTAGGTACTTTGATTTTCTTGCCTTCTCTTCCGTTTTCCCTCATTTGGAATTTTTGAAATCTAAAACTTATATTTATAGGATCTTTGGATGGATATAAATTCAAAACCTGCAGTAGCGTTCAAATTCAAGAAAGACTGCTGATTGTCTGGCAAAAAAGTAAAGAAATTTGAAATTTAACAAGAAAGCATGCAACTAGCAACTCTATGTCGGCTACCCTAATTAGAAGTACTAGCTATACCTCCAAAAGTGAATACGAAAGCCCTTTTCTTAGTTAACCAGCTAATTCAGCATTATGATCATTGATCTCAGTTTAATCAGGAACTTCATCAATCTTATTTTGATCTTTTTTCTTATTCAAAAGAAGACATTAAAGACATTAAATTATGTCAAGAGAATATGTAATTTATGGCTTTGGTGAGGGCTCACTGGTATTTAACTTTCAATTTGAATATTGGAATTAATTTTCTTAATAATTTTCTGCAGCACAACTGGTCCACTGGAGGATGGCTTCATCTAGTTCTAGTTATACGAATTCTCCTTGCGCCGCGTGCAAATTCTTGAGGAGAAAATGCATGCCGGATTGCATATTTGCTCCCTATTTCCCACCTGAGGAACCACAAAAGTTTGCAAATGTCCACAAGATATTTGGTGCCAGCAATGTAAGCAAGCTTCTGAATGAGGTGCTCCCCCATCAGAGAGAGGATGCAGTCAACTCTTTGGCCTACGAAGCGGAGGCCCGGATGAAGGATCCGGTGTACGGATGCGTAGGAGCCATCTCAGTCCTCCAAAGGCAAGTCATTCGCCTCCAGAAGGAGCTGGACGCCACAAATGCTGATCTCATCCGCTATGCAGCAAGCAGCTGCAACAATCTTGAAATTCCAATTGCATCCCAGTCCGGGAGGACTAGGACTAATAGTAATACGGGTCATGGAGGAGGGTCTCTTGGTCAAAATCCTGGGTTGTATTTTTCTTCTCCATGGAATAGATCAGACTCTTACGGAGGAGATAGAAACGAGAGAGGAGGAGGATGAGGATGAGGAGAAGGAAATATGTAGAGTTAGTCTCATATGACATGAGATGTTATGTGCCAATAGATGTCCATTATTAATAAAAAATAGTTATTATTATTGGGTGACCCGGTTTTTAGGGTTACATATATATTAGGGTTTCTCCGGGTGTATCTATACTGGATTTAGAATGGTGTAATAAGTATGTGGATCAGTCTATGAAGTCTCCTGTGATATATAACATTGAAAGCATTAATTTCAGATATCTTATTGCTTGCCTGATTTATAACATCATGTGTACTGCTTGCCCCAAATGAAGCTCTGGTTAATTAGAGGTGATTTGTTTGGTTGATTAATAATCTCAGTCCATGTCCTTTTTAGATAGCTAATATTTCGTTTGTTTCAGAGTGAACATCTCTCTCCATGGCCTGGTTATTTACTAGCTATATAAGCTGCATGTTATATATATGCGATATCTGAAATTAAACTCAGTTAAGGGATTTCTCAAATAAGTTTATTTGAGGAACACTTTTGTAGAGCCAATTTGTATTGTATTTCACTAATCCAAACCGTCTATTTTGTAGATACTCATTCAAAGATGATCTCTACAAAAAATTAAAAAAAAAAAAAAAATTTACTTGAATCTGATATCATTTGACCACTCAATTGAATTATTGAAATTTTAGTACTTTCTTGAAGTACTGTGTTCATTGATTTTGTAGGACACAATTGGATATCGAAACGGTTTCCGATTTGTTTAATTTTTTACAAGGATGATCTATGAATGTAGACACTAAAAATATATGGTTTGGATCGTTAAAAAAAAAATAAAAAAATCATAGGAGACCCTAAAAAGTATCCATCAATAGAAGGAGACTATATATATATATATATATATATACAGAAATTCTTTTATGCGGATATCCGGACTTTACTATCATGCGGATGCCATATACTTTATACTATCCCTCTCTACTTTCATATGCCTATTTATAATAGCATCCGCACGATAATAAAGTGCGGATATCTGGATAAGAATAACTATATATATGAGAACAATACAGTGAAAGGGAGAATTGATAAAAAGAACATGTCGATCATATCCAACATATGGGCTCCCTCCGTCCCCCTTTTTCCTTATTCATGCATTGTATCAGGTCTTAGTGTGTGAAGTGTGAAGAAATGACAATTTGATGGATGTGGGTTGTGTTGTTGTGGGATATTCCTATTGCTTTTTGTGTTGCCTTAATGCCTCATGTCTATCAATTCATCTTTCAAACAAGAGACCTTCTTCTTACAAGAACTTTTATATATCTCCCCCTGCCACCCAGAATAACCTGTTTTTTCAGGGACAGGCACAAGTGGCAGCCACTGTAAATATGTTGACTTCTTCACCCACCGAGCTATATCAATCAAATATATTTTAACCTTAATAATAAGATATATACTGCTTGTGAATTTCAGGGTCCTCTCTCCTCTTCTGTCACAGTCTGAATAATTCTGAAAGGTACTATATATACAGTAAGTCGCACAGAGATGATTCTATGAATGAAGGTCCGCAAAAGGGATATTGTTTGCGCATGCCATGTGTGATGACGATTGAAAGGGTACCCTCTACCCTGCTCCTTCACAGAAACATATTAATTGGCGGACCCATTATTATTATTTTCCCCTTTATTTATATATATATATATATATATATATATATTACCAATCATCATTTCCTTTGGACATGAATATCAAATAACTTGTTTCTGCATACGAAATATTAAAAATATGTTTCGTACTATAATTGTGGTCTTGGGGTCAAAACAAATAGTAATATTGTCACGTGCATATATTTGCATGTTTGTTTTTTCTTTTTGGTTGATGCTACTAAGCTAGCTGCGGGGGAGGCTACCTTAGATTAGGGTGCTGACTGCAATGCTGATGCTTCAACAGTAGTACGTATATGCATATAGATAGCACTAGCTAGGCACAAAGATTTTCATGTCGGGTTTTCACTTTCAATTTTCACTTTTAACATTATATATAGGACTCATTACACATTGTATTTCAATAATTCGAATCGTTTGGTTTTAGTTCATGTTATATATAAAATATGATGGATTCATGCGCTTGTATTAGTTAGTTCGTAGCAATGCAATTAAAGCTATGACTTGATGAAGTTGTGTAGCTGAGGGGCAATGGTTAGTGTGTTGCTTTATGGTGGCATTCAGTCCTCATTTTATTAGAGACGATGTTGAGTTAAACTTTCGAACAGGGCTCACCTTTGTGTGATTTAAAAAAAAAAAGAAAAAAAAAAAAAGGAAAGTCGAGTAACAAATGAAATTGAGGTAAAATGACAAGAAAAGATGCTAAATGTCTCTCTTTAAGCAATGCAGAAAGGAGCACGCGTAATAGAAAAAAAGAAAAGTGTCAAAACGTCCTAATCGATTTGGGGTAGTCCCAGCTATAGCCTCCTCTAGCCTAGGTCATGTCGATCGCTCTCCAAATGTTGGGCCACCACAAACCGCCCAAAAAGGTAACCCAAAAGGCCCAACAGCATAGACTAGACATGCGATTGCCTTTCCTTCTAAATGAATCAATGTCCTTGGAATCTCTTTGATTGACTGATTAGACATATGCCTCAACTGAGAAACATTTGCGTAACATGGATATCACTGTTTTGCTCTACTGGTCAATCACTACATGTCACGCGTGATAACTTTCTACTTATCATCCTGTCAGAGATAACAAAATATTGCTATCCGTGTTTCACACAAGTTTTTTTTGGTTGCTCTTTATCATTTTCAGCCCAGTTTTCACGCCAGCTATCTTTTCATGGGCCTGAAGATGGATAAGGTGGGCCAAGACATCCAGAGAAAGTCCTAATAATAAATGAGGCAAACGGCAGTATACAATTACAATGTTGTTAATAATGTACTTTGAAAAATGAATGCACATACCTTGCACTTGTGCAAAAATGAAGTAAAATGTATGTCCTTGGTGTGTACAGATAAAATGGCCTTTTCAAATTTCCTTTTTTTTTCCCCGACCGGCAAAGGACTCGAGTGGAGCCATCAAATTATTATTATTATTTTTTATTTTATTTTATATATATATATACATGTATATAGAATTAGCGATACATTGCATTAGAAAGGGAGCACTTTTCCTAAAATTCGAATGGGTGACGGGGGAATGGGGAGGGACCTCACCACTGAGGTAAAACCCATCAATTTTTATGAATAAAAAGAGAGGAGTGATTCTGTGGACACCAAAACTTGTTTTCATAAAAATGAAATTTGTTTTAAACACCAACATTTAGACGTATATCAATTTTAACTCTTTACAAGTTGCATTTTCATTTCTTTACTTTAAAGGCTAATTACAAGAGGAATGGATTATCATACACATTATCAAAGTGTCATGGTTTTTCGAACTTAAGTTCACTTATCTATAAAATCGAAGTCCGTTTTTACTTGACTAGACCCATTAGCACTTGGGTCTTCACTTCGGGGTGTCTATAGAAGTCTCCACCCATTAACTTAACTTGTATTTAGATTTCGCTAATTTTTATTTAGGGGCTTATGCATGTAGACTAGAAAGCAAAATAAGAGAAAAAGACAAGCTCGGGAGAGTAATGCCCGTTTTAATAAACATGCAGGCAACCAAACAATGTGGCAGAACCGAACGCGAAATGGTGGCAATAAAGACTCCTTCACAGAAAGCCACCTCAACTTTCGAATTAAATCTATTTTTCAGTATTTTGGTAGTGCCCAAAAGCTGCACTGAAACTTGTTCCTCATGCAGAGCCCCAACTCACCATCTCAAACGTACGTGTCATCACATTGCACTCACCACCCTTCTATAAAATATCACCACCTCTCCTCTTATCTCAATCCCATTCACATCCATCTTTTGCTTCATCACTCTTCTGAAACAAGTTGTCCAAAGTTTCGTCACTCCCAAAACTCTCATCTCAGCTCCAGCTCTCATCAATGGCGGATCGTCCTCAGCCACACCAGCTCCAAGTTCGTCCCCAGCATGGCCTTGGGGCCAAGACCCAATACCAAGGCCCGTCAACTGGCCAGGTCCTCGCAGTCATAACTGGCCTTCCTGTTGGCGGAACCCTGCTAGCCCTTGCTGGTCTCACACTCATGGGCACCATCATTGGGGCTCTGTTGGCCACCCCACTCTTCATCATCTTCAGCCCGGTTCTTGTCCCGGCTCTCTTTGTCATTGGCCTGGCCGTTACCGGATTTCTAACTTCGGGGGCTTTTGGACTGACTGCACTCTCGTCTCTGTCTTGGGTCACCAACTACCTCCGAAGGGCCGCGGGGTTGGTGCCAGAGCAGCTGGACCAGATGAAGAGGCGCACAGCGGATGTGGCAGAGTTTGTGGGACAGAAGACCAAGGAGGGCAGCCAAGACATCCAGAGTAAGGCCCAAGACGAAAAGAGGAGGACATGAAAGTCGTTGAAGTGGAAGAAAGGCTAGAGAGGTTGTATACGAGAATGGAAGGGAAATAATGTCGTAACCTATTTCGAGTGGTTTTCTATTGTTAGGTGTTGATGTTGGCTGGCTTCAGAGGTGTACGTATCTAGTGCTGTTCGTATTGTCATGTACTTGTTCTCGTACGTAGAAGAGTCTAATGGGGTGGTTTTTGGCAGAATTTAAGAGGTCCATGAATTTCGGTTATGGTTACCTTTAGAATCTGGCACTTCCTGTGTAATTATTTACATTGTGTTTAATGTATGTCCTTAAATGTTAATTATGCAAATTTATTGGTACACTATCTCTCTCTCTCTCTCTCTCTCTCTGTGTGAGAAAGAGCAACCACCAAAAATAATAATAATAATAATAATAATAATAAACACAAACAAAAAAGTGGGAGAGGAAAGCCCATATCCTAATAAAGAAATAACTTATAAGCAATATACATGGTCACCCTATTCAACCCTTCACGTGGCTCGGAATTCGGGCTAGCTCCTCGCAGAGCAACGGTACAAAAGGATTAAAAAGAAACACATACCAGCCAGCTGGGGGCGGGGGGGCGTCGGGGACAAAATTTGTAGCACCTGGAAGCACAGATTATTTTTGCACATACTATGCAATTTATTTTAGCCACTCTAAAATTATCACTCAGCAACACCTATTCTCTTGTGCTTTCGTTCGATGTCGATCTGAACCAAGACCCAGTACTCAAATTGGGTCATTTTGCATAGGCCCCCCGCGAGTATACTATCTTCTAAAATGTTGCTAATAAGTTAACACACAGCCGTTTTTGTCCATAAAAAAACTATTGTACATCTGAAAGCCTTTTTTCTTTTTTTATGGTACATTTAAGTTTAAACTGATCTCAAGAGGCTAGACTACTCTGACCCTACAAACAAACCAATGCCAATTGAAGAACATTGGAAGCAGATGAAATTAATAGGAGGAACTAAGAACATTGGAAGTAGATGAAATTAATAGGAGGAACTAACTCAAAAGGGTTTTACTGAGACGGATGCTCGGCTTCAACACCGGCTTCGGTGTCCATGCGAGTCGGCTCGGCGTTTGAGTCGTTAGGTATCCAAAAGGTAAGAACAGATGATGCAGCAGCAAACATGGCCCTGCGGGGAGCCCACTTCAAGCAAGATGGAACTCCAATGTGACTGTTCCAGCATGCCACCTGCTGAAAAAAGAAATTACCGATTGTTGGAGACTCAAAATTTTCCATCTATAATCTCATGGTACAAGGCACTTAATTAGTGTATTTGAGCAATGTTGTTCTGTTTCCAAGCATTTACAACCCACTACAGGCCAAAGTGGATGACCAGGACACCATTTTTATCAAATTAAATGAGACAGTAAATAGTCCTCATGACTAGCATTCAAAACCTACAATCATAAGCAGAATCAAAATATATAAATCGTTACCTCGTTCCGCTTGTTGATGCTCCAGGCATGCAAGTTTCCATCTCCAGAGCCTTGACAAAGATGAAGTAAAAAAAATTAAGAATCAGAACATTAGATAAGATGCCACATCGTAACAAGCAGTGCAAAATACATATACCTGACACGACATACTGGCCATCTGGGGTAAAAGTTGCCTCTATTATTACGTTAGGAGATGGTTCCAAACTGTACCCACAGCGCTGCACAAAGGAAAGTTCTAAATTTTAGGCATATTGTTGTAACACACCCAGAGAGAGTACAAAATAATCTCAACAGGAAAACATACCTTCTCTCCTCCATATGCGTCCAGAATATAGATGTTGTTGTTTGTGGTTGTCAAGAGCATTGATTTGCCATCACTGCTAAACTTGATATCACAAACTTCAGCAGTATCTCCACCAACTAAAAAGGTATCAAATGGACCCTAATTAGGAAAATTTTAGTTAAATTCATGATTTGAAAATTCATAATTATCCCAAAACAAAGTCATTTATTCATAGGTTATAACCTTGTCGTAGGAACGTGAATCAAACAATTTAATCGCACCCCCTTCCATTGCCACAGCAAAAACAAGACCTTGCTGGTCATAGGCAACTGTAGGTCTACCACGTAGATGCAAAATTCCCTGTAAGCATGAATTGCAATCTTGTCTTAGAACTGCATCTCAAGTTCTCAAGATTACTTTCCCAAATTTAGCCTACCTTTATCATGTTATGTATTAAAACCAAGAACCTACCTGGCAGGCATTTACACGGAGATCCCATATTCTGACAGAGTGGTCCAACGAACCAGACATGAAGCTATCGTTGACTGGAGACATACAGAGGGAAACAATTCTACAGCAGCAGTTAATGGAAATAATAAGCAAAACAAGTTTGCAAAAAGAGAAAGGGAAAAGAATGATAAAACTTAACTAATTAACAGCATTGATAATGATGTCTATTTATAAGATAGGGATAAGACCTTATTTCATTGTTTATGATCGAACTCAGAATTAGTAGTGTGTCCGAGAACCCATGGCTGTTTGTGTGCATGCAGATACATCATAAAAGCCATGTATGTTTACACATCATAAACAACAAACTGAAAGCACCCATGTTTACTAGCACCACACAGACTTTCTAAGTATCATGTTTACTAGCATTTCACACAAAGTTCAGAACATGAAGTGACTACTGTGACTCTGTGACCTTACTCTCTGATGCTTTTTTTGAATTGTGTCATTCTCTAAATTGATATTCAGTAAAACGTACAGATCCTACTGCCTTAAATAGACAATTTATGAAAATACGCATCCATTTAATAAACAGATAACAAGTGATCCAAAACACATCATGGGCTTATTATTAGTACCACAAAAGTCAAAGGATTCAAACCTCTCTTTATGTCCTTTGAAGTAGCGAAGGCATCGATTATCATACATTGACAGATACCGCAGTGATTCTGCTAAGGAAACAGTCAGCATCATTTAGAAAATAATATCACAGGAATTAGGAGTTAATGGCACGTTAAAAAAAAAGTCACCTCCAGTGGCATCCAGATTGTATTTTGAAGAGCATATAACAGAACTTGGGTGATGGGTAAAGCATATACGATCTGCTCCATGTTTCTTATGGAATGTGGTCTTTAGCAACCTGAAGTTCATGAAGAAACGTTATTAAAGAAGCAACAATATTGATGCAGTTTCCCGTCATTGGTTTCTGTGCGCTGCATCTATGAAACATAAATTTCAGATGAAGGAAAGAACTTGAAAGTGGACATGCACTTAATAACAGTCAGAGCCATACACAAAGACATGCTCAAATGTTTAAAATCAATTAAGTCTCACTACAAGAAACCATGGCATAAAACAAGCTTAGATAGCACATGTCGCTGATAACAGAATTATACCACAGAAATGCAATTGAAAGAATTTGTATTTCTTCAACTGACAACAACAATGGGGTCCAATTTAACAACACGAAACCGGTTCGATCAAATGCTCCCTCGTAAACAAAAGGATTGATAAGATCAAGGCACAAGGTAAACTACTTCATCCATGAGTGTGAGTGTGTGTGTGTGTGTGTGTGTGTGTGTGTGTAAATATATATGTATACAGCTATAGTCGATTTCTTGCAACATAAACATCTTTTATCAGGTAATAGTTAGCTCACTTAGCAGTTGCAATGTCATAGAGTCGCACAGAATCATCCTCGCTAGCCGTAACCAGTAAATCATCCTTGCGGTGAAAATCCAGTGAATTTATCTTCCCACCCTGAAAATTTGAACAAACGGCTCACTCTTAAAACCTATACTTTAATTTTAATAATAGCGACGAGTTAATCTTTCCAATTCAAACCCTCAATTCTTCAACGTTCCTTTGATAAGAATAAGTTTAATCAATTTCATGAATATGTGAAATTGCTCACTGCATATATGAACAATCACAGCAGTAAACTCTAATTCCAAACCAAATCAAAACCAGCTTGAATTCGCAACAAATAAAGTTTCCTGGTCGTGCATAAAATTCAATAGTCGCTAATCATAATAATTGCTAGAAGAACAAAGTAGCATATGAAGGAGAATTTTTGAGCTCACAAAGTCTGAGAAAACGGCTCCAATGGCCATGCTGCGCACCGTTTCGTCGTCGAGCTGTGTCATCGGCGTCTTCATCCTTGTGAATGGAGGAGGTCTCAGTTGAGTCAGTTCTTGAGAAAGAAAAGAGCATATATATAGGGAATTTACGAAGGAAATTTTTTTAATTTTATAAATAGAAAAAGATAAAGTTTGTTAGTTGGGCTTAAGAAAACGGGTCAAAAATTTTCAGAATCGAAACTATAATTGGACGAGCCAAGTCTAAAATGCCCCAGAGTTTTTGGGTTAAGCGACGCTGAATTTTTAATTTGGCCACCTTTAGTCTCTCATTTTTATTTGATGTTTTTCAATTTTAAATTTTCACCCAAATAATTTCGAGTTTTTCTATTTAAACCCCGCTTCTCTCTTTGTTCACCCCAACTTCTAATTCAAAATTTCTAAGTTTCTAAGAAAACCCCACTATCTTCCCAAACTACCCTCAAATACACATATGGCAGAAAAAAAAATAAAAAAAACTCATCAACCTCACACCCACACCCCGCTATCTTGCCTCTCACCACTCTAAGTTCACCTTAACCTCACATTACTTAAAGAGATAAAAATATTGTTGTCAAACTCAATTGACGACCCACAAGCTACTATTTGCATGTCGTATTTAGAGTTTGTAAAGAGAAGATGAGAGCGTAGTAGGTTTTTTGGATTAAAAAAGGAGAGTAATATGACAATAGGGTGTAAAAGAGTTTTTATTTTTCTAAAACTTAATATAAAGAGTGGTGGGGTGTGTAGATGTACTAGGGTTAAATATTAAGTTGGATGACCTTTTTTGTCTTTTTACACAATAATAAAACTTAAGAGCTTAATGATTTAAGTATTGGGGTGAACAAAGAAAAGTGTGGGGTTTAAATAGAAAAACCTATAATTTTTTTTTATAAAAACAATGGATTTCATCACTTTTTCTTTTTTAAATTAAAAAAACTAACTCCACAAAATAATTTATAATAATTCATTATTATTTATTAAGTAATTTATGAATTTAGTAAAATATTTAAATACTAATTATTCCTTAAAGAAATTTCTTAAGGCTTACCTTTGCTGCAAAGAAATTCAGATTTTTATTGTTGGATATATTTAAAGTGTATAGCCGTACGGCTATACATTATAAATACGATATTTTAACGGTATAGCCGCTCGGCTATACGCCAAAATATAATAGCCTAAAAGCATTTTAAAATAAGTAGGATATTATAAATAGAATATTTTAACAGTCTAGCCGTGC